AAATAAACACTTGAAATATAACCCAGTGTGTCAGAAATATAAATAATATACAGATTTTACTTTTTAAATGTAATTACTGTGCTGACTAAACTTATGATGATCTTCTGAGCTGCACAACAATTAAAAGACTTACACAGTCATTCATGCCCTTACAAATGCTAAACTATGTTCTCACACAGATCCGATCCTCATAGCCCGGGCACTTCAGGACTACTACCCTGGAGACTGCAGGTTCATCCCCATCCAACAGGGGCAACTCGTCTATGTTTATGCAATGCTGAAAGACAGAGGGAATCTCTTCTGGGCTGGCAGTGTGAGTAAAGACAAATAATGTTAGAAAAATTTATTATGACCATAATATACAGTGCTTTGCAAAATTAATAACATTAAAACCACAAACACTGCAGAAGTTTATTGTGTGACTGCTCAATATAAAATACCACATAACCTAATTTTTGCTTCAACCCTTTAAAAAAACGTCACATGCAAGGTAATCAAATCTGCTGGGTGTGAAGTTAGCTTGAAATAGAAAAAGGCTTCTTTATTTAGAATCTGGTAGATAAATAAAAAAATACCACTGATTTTTTTTTTTTTTTTCTTTGCTACTTTCGAATGATCCAGTCACAGCGTACAGCTGTAACAGGTTCACCTTAATCAGCCTCAGCGCAGCCAAGAACAGCAAAGCAAATACTGGCTGAAAATATCTTTCTACTCAAGCCTTGTCTTAAGTAAATACATGCAAGTTCCAGGAGGAATAAATCAACGTAGCAACTTCCATGGTAAACAAGAAAAACTTTCTGGTAATGGTATAATGGATTATGTTGTACTCATTTTATAAGGCACATCTGCTACAGACCATGTAACTCCAAACTGTAAGTAAAAACTATAAAACAAAGTAACAATCATCAACAATAGATTTTAAGTGTGTGAACTATGTCCTGTTGTTTAACTGCATTGAAATGTCTCTAAAGATGGTGTTGTTCAGCCATCTTGAAGTTTATTAAGCTACAGTAAAAAAGATTGAGAAGCTCTAATCTAGATACTTTACTACTGCAGGTACAAAACACATATTATGGAGAACAGGAGGCTCGGATTGGTCACTTCCCCAGCAGCGTTGTGGAGGAAACACATGCTCTCATGCCAGCAACCACAGAAGTCAAAACTACCGTAAGTGAACCAACAGTTCTGTGCATATTTACAAATAAGTTGAACTATTATCAAGCTATTTCTATTTTATTCTTGTATTTTCACTGCTTTCATTTTTTTTTTTTACCCAGAACTGGGATTTCTACTGCAACTGATGCTGAACGGACACACAGAGAAAACAACAATATGGAACAGCTTTCCTTAACACACAATTATGGTCTAATCCATGTTAGCTTGTCTCTGAATACGTTTTTAAAAATCATGAAATGATTTATGGGTGTCAGAAATTGTATTCTGATAACTTTGTCAACTATATGCTTTGATTGCTGATCTTTGATTTCGAGGTAGAGATATGTTCCTGTTCCTGTTATATATCAAACTTGGGCTCTTTTTTCTGTGTTCTTGTTATTTGGTATTTAAGTGAGATTTACTTTACACAACATGACTTAGAATTTAATCGGATTTTCTGTCAAAATTAAATAAATCTTATCTGTATTTAAACATGTAATCATCTTCATCTTGAATTATTTAGAAGATAGTTCTCCTACTTATGCTATCTGTGACACTTTGGCTTTTCATACTTTCAGTTTTACAGATAATAAACATTTCAACAAAAACTGTAAAAAAGTTTATTTTTTTTTAGGTTGAGCTTGGCAAGAGATTTCACCTGAATATGCTGCCTATTATTTATTGTAGCATGATATGATGGTGAAACATACATCTTTTAAATAAATGTGTTTGGTTTTTTTTTGTTTTAACTGTGTTATGCTTAGACATACAGTATATGCAGGAAAGTGGGATTTAAATAATTTTTCCAAGACAAGGTCAACTTTTACTATTTGGCTGTCATTCAGGTTTTTTGTTTGTTTGTTTTTTTTGATTGTGTAATAATTTGCAAAACAACAAATAAAATGTTTTCCACATCTTTGAGGTTGATTTATTGATTTTTTAAAATAGTTTTTTAATTGTCATGAATGTCTTGGGGCCTAATAACTTGATTTTTCAGACTCTGTTGTGTGAAATTATACTTTCAACAGAACAAAGAAAAAAAAATGACAACACAAATTTGAGTTTCAATATTTATTCTAAATATGGTTTTCTGCGTTAATATGCCAGAGGCTATAGCCGGTTTAACAGTAATAGTAGAGCGTTGGGTTTACAAGTAAAAATGTACTCACTGTCAAAAACAGCACATATAGATATCTGAAGAAAAAAAGTGGCTCTTGTGCTCATCCTTTACACTGCGACCTACACCTGTCATTCTCCATCTGTTGCTTTTTCCATTCCATACAATCTTGGCCTTAAATCCTCTGGTGGCATTTTGAATGACCAAAAAAAGCAATCAAATGCTCCCATTGATCCTGTATCTCTTCACTTACAGAAACCAGCACCATATCCCACTGAAAAGAGAGCACAGCTGGCATTTTGTTAATAAGTCTGACAATAATAGTCTTAGACAAGAACATTTTAAGCTATCTAGGCTATTTTCCCCTCCATCTAACTTTTTAGAGTTTGGTCTCCTAAATGCAAAGCTTTCTCAGACTTTGTCTATTATTCACACACCAGGTAAAGGAAAGGAATATATTTGGTAATTTTAGATAAATGCATGGCTATAATTTGTCAAAGATAGGCCTATGATAAGAACATTTATTCTCTGGAGCTTAATATTGTGCAAACGAAACTCACATGTAATGTTAAATGTTTATGCAGGATCCAATTTTTTCCAGAGGTTACCATGTTCTAAATCCATCTGTGATTGTAAGTTGGAAGTCAGCAGGTTATGCTTGCATTTTTTTTTTTTTTAATTGACTGACCTATTATGTTAACCAAAATGCCAACATATAAACAAGTAGTGGTGGGTTAGTACTTAATCAGTATCAGGGCTGCCAGGTCACTCTACATTTTTTGCTTCTGTGAGCCATCTTCAAATGAGATGGGAATGTTGCGGTCTGGCCCAAGACATGGCCGAGGCGCCGTGATTGTTAGCACTCCATCAGATGACAGATTGGAGGTGATGTCGGCCCCTAACACGCCAGATGGAAGCCTGTACTTCCTCAGAAACTCTCTTGACACAAAGCCGTGATCATCCTGAAAACAGAATTAGTCAGTGTTAGAAAAGTTGCAGCTTGCAGTTTCTGCAAATCTCTGCAATCTCTCTTGACCTGTCTGTCCTCGTGCTTAGCGTGCACCGTGATGAACTCGTCGCTAAGATTGACGGACAGCTCGTCGGGGGAGAAATGCTTCACATCCAGATAAATAACGAAGCGGTCCTTTTCCATCCGCATCTGTGCAGAAATTTGTTAGAAGTAGTAAGATGTTGTTGTTTTTTTTCCTCAGTGCAATTTCAATTCAGGTTAGAAAGTTAATGGTGTTTCTGATTTCAACTTAAGCACTTAGAATTCTAATTTAAACAACAAATCTCACAAATGTGACTGTGAAACACAAAGGCTTGAAGTACCATCAAAAGGTGAACCAAACAGCACTGTACCTCACTGTGTCCATTTTCCGGCCAGTTGAACCAGCGCATAAATGAAGGTCGCATCCAGGGGAAGGACCAGGAGAAGGGCCACACCAGTGGCCAGTCAGCAAGAGGTTCTGCCAAGGAGAGGTCAGAAAACCGGCTTGGGAAGGCGCGACGGTACCAGGGGTACTGAATGGGAATATCCATAGTGGAAGTCAGAGAAGGTTTTAAGCTCAAAGCTGGTCTAACTTGGCTTAAGATGGGTGCAACTCTCCAGTCCTACACTGAATTTATAGGACTTCCCCTCCCAACCCATCCAAGCCTCCCTAACCTCCCATGCCATCACTGGCAGCGAAACTGTGCCAACAGGCTGATCTCTCTGGAACAATGATGTCAACTGTTTGTCCCTTCTTCCCCCTGACTGTTTCCTCTGTCTGATTGTTGTCTCACACTCTGCCCCCGACACCGTGTTTCTATCTCTCAGCCATGACGGGACACTGGCTGGGAATATTGCTGATACCTCCAAGCTTATGCCCCAGGAAATGCCGCTGCCCAATGTTCGAGAGTTTGTTTGGTGAATAGCTTACTGAGCTTTAGCCAGTGGTGCGCCATGTGCCAAAAGCTTAGATCTATGTGTGGAGTGGATGTGGTGTTGAATGGAAACTGATGAGTGTGTATGGGACAGCATTAGGTGAGACTTTATCTGCGTAAAGTTTTGCCATGAGCTCAGATTTAAAAAATTGCTTTCCCATTGGATGTTCCAAGTAAACGTTATTTGTCCTCTTACACATTTCTCCTATTTTAGCTTGTTTGTCTACTTAAATGTTTCTGCTCAAAAAGAGAAAAAATGAAAACAGTAATCTCTATAGAAAACAAAGTTTTTAAATCATTATTTTATTTATTAATGGAAAGAAAGCTATCCAAACCTGACCTTGTGTGAAAAGGTTATTGAACCAAGCTAATATTACCCCTTAACCTAATAAATATTTGTGCCGCCCCTGGCAGCAAGTCAGATTTTTTTTTTTACATCGCTATTGAGTAATTTTGACACAATCATCCACATTGGAAAATTGTGTTAATGTATTGGAGATTATAAGATTGGTGATCTCTCTTTTAATCTGTATATTTTAAATTAGTAGTCTAATTTTATCAACACATTTTAATCATAATCATTTTAATCCTTTTTGGATTGACAACATAAGCTGTTGTATGGGTAAAATGATCCAGCCTTTAGTTGTCAATCAACACAGAACTAAAATATGACCCTTGACTCTGAAATCAAAACAATACACTAAGCTGCCCAACAGTTCTAACAAGCATCTGACAGATCCAACTAATATTTAAATATTTACAAAATAAATTGATTTCGAGATCAAACAAATCTCAATTTCCAGTAAATATACGTAAAATCAGAAAGAAAAGTACTTAATGTCACACATTTATAAAAATATACTTAAGCGTGATTTTACCAAAAACCTTCATGATCCACTTTGGGCGTAAAATGTATTTAATAAATGAATTACATTACATTTATACGTAATTAATTAACTACATATTATTTTAGAAGTTTGTTTAAAAGTAATTAATTAGTAGAAAGACAAGAAGAGGTTTCGGTTGTTCAACTTCCTGCCTACCAGTGGTTGCCATAGCGACGTGCCTAACATTGGTGCAGCGAAAAGGAGTTTGTTCAAAATTTGTCCACAGCTGCTTCAAATGCTTTTCTATCTACAGAAATGGCCTTACCGGCAACATATTATGGCGAACTGGACGCAAAAAATCCTGTCCTTGCACTTTTTAGACGCGAAACGGGATCATTTTTAACGCTCATGAAACAAGTCTCTTCGACCACGAAGCGCGACCACAGCTCTTATGCTAAAGGGTAAGAAAGTGGTAAAGTATGATGACGTTACCCGCCTGATTTTCTCGTTATTTACGTTTTTTACACACACACAAAAAAAAAACTGTTAATAGCTAACATTTAGCACTTATTATTTTTTTTCTCCAAAGCAGTACACTTGGAGGCAGAAGAGCCTCTTTTGTTTGTCAAGACACATTTTAACATAGTTTTGTTTTTAGGATTAACCTACTTATGAAAATACGGAAAGAGTACATAAACCGAATACCAGAGAGGTTTTACCAGGAGCACCTGTTGCAGGTTGCAGATATCCTTTGTGAATATAAGGTACCTTAATAAATAACAGTTATTTATGCTGTATTCCTCCTGCTGTTTTGCAATGTCATTCTTGCTTCATAACGTTGTCAGTCAACATGCTGGTTTTAGAATCATAAACTATTTTAGGTGTGTATATGATATTGCACACCAAACGTGTAGGTTAACAGCAACACAACGTCTCATGCAAAACTATCTGAAGCTGACAAATGTGCCTCTGACACTTCAGATTTGACCCTTATTCTCTTCATTTCTAGCTGTACCAGCTGGCTCTGTGGCAGGGCTACGGTCTCAGCCTGCTGCAGTTGAGCTCAGTGCAAATAACTGACATTACAGATGTGGACCACTTTATGGCTTGCTTTTTCCCTGAAGGTTTTGAACTGGAACAAGGCACCTTTACAATAAAGGTACACGGCCAACAGACAAGTACACAAGTATACAAGTACACAAAATATTAACAAGTGTGTATTTTTCTGTGCATCCAGACGCGGGCGATGTTTGGTTGTGCCATATGTATCTTTGAGGAAGAGAAAAAGCACAGCATCCTCAGCCAGAAGGGACTCTCCATACTGCTGAAAGCGCTGAACTTCATTAGGATCATGATGCAGGCATTCCAGCAACATGAACATCTCTCCTGGCTCATATACAATGGTTTGTAAAGTCAACTAGTAAGAAGAGATTAATTAACAAGTTGCCAAAAATATTTTTGTCTTTAAAAAATCAGATTATAGGTAAGGTAGGTAAGGTAGTGTTAAATGATCATACTTTTTTTATTTCCTACTTTTTACTGAAGTTAGAAATGTACGGTACATGTTTTGTGGCATGTCTCTACCAGATCTGTCTATGTAGAGACGATCTTTTGGCCTATAAATTTTTCTTGCTAAATAGGCAAGCTCCTCTAGTTACCCTAGATTGATTCTGTAATTATTGCTTGGTAGAGTTTCATTTATATCAAGATCTTTCCATTTTGTATGATGGATGAAACAGTGCTTTGTGAGATATCTGTAGCTTTTCATATTGTTATCTAACCTAACCTCTCTGTAGCTTTTTCATTAACCTGTCTATTGTGTTCTTTGGTTTTCACTATACATACAAATGCACATCACTCTTGTCAGATTTTATTTTCATTTGTGAAATTGTTTCAAAATCATTTATCATTTACCTTCTGTTTCACAATGATTCACGCCTTTGTGCTGCTCTATTACCTGAAATATGCTAAACTATTTTGCAGATTGTGTTTCAGAATTATTTCCATGCTCTATAATCCGTTTACTTTCTCATCTATCCTAGGTTCGATGTCCATTTACAACATCTGCCGTTACCTGATGACTATGAATTGCAGTGAGCAGGTGCTTTAACATTCATAGACTCTGTACTATTTCTTCATATGATTCATCTGAAACAAAATGGTGTGTGATTTCAGAGATGCCCAACACAGATATGATAAAATGGATGTTGGTAGGAAATAACTTGAGAGACCATTTGTGAATTATGATAAAGCCTACAGGTATAATGTTGAAATTATAATTTAAAAGGTCTGCAAAAATAATTGAATTGCTATCAACTTATTCTCTTCTACAGCATGGATATAAATGTGTCTCTATTTACGACACCTAACAGCATTATTTATGCTCCTATTCAGGCTCTGGAGTACCTTCTGTGGGCGAGTATCAGTTTGGAGCTGTCCATCCCTTTGATGACACCCAGATATCTGCCACTTATTGTCGCTCTCTACTGTTCAGTCTGCCAGTGTTACTATGACAACCAGTCTGAACTGCAAGCAGAGGTGAAAGACGTTTGCATCCATAAAAAAAACTACTCATGAATTTTTCCAATTTACTCCTTATAGTGTATCATATTCAGATTCAAAAATACTTTATTGATCCCGAGGTGAAATAAAAACAAAACCAAAAGCATAATTGTAAAATTAATTGTTGGTTAGAAATTTAGGTAGGGTTGTAGAAGTGTGCCTGGAAGCATAATCCTCCCTTTTGACAAATCTATTATTTTTACTGGTTTCAGGATTTTGCGAAGAGAGCTCTCGAAAAAATAAATGAGATGGCTAACCTGGAAGAAGAGACTGAATGCACTAATGAATTAACTCAGAAAGCTTACAGAGCAGCTTCTGTGAAGGTAAGCAGACTACAACATATAGTGCAGTGAAGCAATGCTTGATCCCTTCCAGATTCCTTATGTTTTAACATTTTTGGCTCACTTAAATGTTTTAAATAATCAGGCAGATACAGTTACTATCACATAAAAATAACCCCATTAAGTGCAAAGTGCAGTCTTTTTCATCAACTGAGTGAAATTTTAGCCCACTTATCTCCAGAGTTGATTTAATTCCCCAATTGTGGATAACAAATCTCACAATATTGAAGTCCTCATCCTTAAAAAAATGGCTTTGTAACCTTTGTCAAACTCAGACTAATGTTTTTGAAATTTCGAGTACATGTTGCTCTTGTGATCTTTTATCCTACTTCGTGTTGTAAATAAGTTGTTATTTAAGTGATTTTTCGATTCTTTGGACCTGGCTTTGATTAGATCATATTCAATAAACTACATTAGGTATGCTATGGTGAATATTACTGAAATGTTTCTTTTGGTAACTCAGTTCAATGATTGGAACACATCTCATAGATTGATTACACTCAGACTTTTTTAAGTCTTTGTTTCTGTTAATTATGTTTTTTTTTTGCATTTAACATTGCATTAAACCTTAACATTTAACGTTTTACATTAGAAACTAATGTAAAACGTTAGTTTTACATGAAACTAATAAAGTATTATTAGTTTATTAGTTATTAAACATGAAAATTATGTTTAATAACTGCTTAAAGTTTTTTTTTAAGAAAGATACTTTTCATCTGACTATTGAGCCTAATATTATAATTGAATATGATTGTGTGGAAAAAAAAGTATGTGAAAGAAATGTATAATGAGTAAGTGTTGTTTTAAATATGTAGTGATGCTGTTATTGTGTTGAAATTTTACACAGAAAAGACACTTATACAAGACTGAGTCATGCGGTTTAAATTAAGACTATTTTCTTTTTTCCCCACATTTAGCTTGGTGTTTTGGTGTTCAAGCGGACAGTCTTCGAAAGCAGAAAACCTAAAACCACGCTAAGAACCAAAAACAAAAGCACCCTCAAAGAGATCCCCAATGTAATATCATGTACATGAATATTGTGACACCGACCACAATGTTAAATCTAATCTTTGAGTGAAAAGCAGCTTTCACTTCTTGAGCTTTTCCTAACAGTCATATTACTTGCAAGTCCTCTAAGGCTTTTTAATTTTATTAAATGTTTGCCATCATGTCGAACTGTTATTAAGTACTTCTTTTGTTGGATTTTAAATGTTTTAGTTGCAGAGCTCTATACAGAAATCTTTGTAAAACTTCTACACTGGACAAAACACAGCAAGTAAAGTCTGCCTCTCCCCCAGGCTCCATGGCCTCGTACCCCAACAGAGCAGATGCTGCTTACCCAGTTTGGCTGCACTGCAGGACAATTTTTAGCCATTTCGGAGGCACTTTGGGAAAGCCACACACGTCCACTGGAAATAAAGCTACCCGATGACCCAGAGCTGCTTGAGATTATCATTGAGCTCCTCTCTGCTGGCATGAGTATTTTGTCTGGTTAGTGCAACAATTACGCCAACCTACTACATTATTAACAGTGATGTAATGAAACATAGAGGTGTTGTAAAATATATACGTGATAAACTTGTATTGTGAAAGTGTCAAGGCCTGACTGGGAAATGACTTTTTCTCATGTTAATGTTTGCTAAGGAGGCACAAGTTCAAATACCGCTGAACAAAAGTCTGACGATCACCAGAGTTTTTGTCCTAACGTACTTACAACAGAATCTACTATAGTGGATCTAGCAACAGAAGGTAAGTCAGCATCACCAAGTATATTTCTTAATCCAATGTAAGCATAAGATGATTATATGCAAGGAATAATAAGGTTTTAAAAATGTTCATATTGAAGAAGTGAAAATGTAAGGTTCTTCTAATGACATTCCAAGGAATGTACCTGAAGGTACCTGACAGCTGGCAGAAAAAGGCCTGATATGGATTTTAAGGGAAATTCGAGTTCAGTCAGCTTTGCATATGTTATTAAAATTTGCACCGAGTTGAATGCCTGACACTTAAATTAATATAACCACCCACAATTGCTCCCAGTCTTTCACAATCACAATATTGCAGATACTGATTGCAGTCAGTGTCTACGATGTCATAGTCATTGGAAATGACAATTGTACTATATGCACTGTCATTACAAAGTCCAATATATTTTTCTGTCGTATTTTTCTTATTTATTTTTTGCATTTCTTAAATATGTAATTAAGCACTGATAGATATTTGTCCTCTCTCCAAAGGAAAATTCTCACCCAAAATTTAGCTTTACACCCATAGTTTAACTGAAGCACTAACTGTAATAGTTAGAATCAAGAGACGTGAAATTGTGTTTCTCCAGGTGAGAACAAAATACCGATTAAGTCTGCAGTGAGATTCATCAAACTGTTGTTTAAGTACAAGCAGCCAGAAGCATTCTCAGAACTCACCGAGGAGATGCTGCACACTTTGTCTGTAAGTACCTCTGAAGATACCTGCTGTTATCTATATTGACACGAATGTGTCGCAAAACATTTTGAGTTTTTTCTTTTCCCCCCTTGTGTTCTGTATCCATTTTTATAGAAAGTGTTCTTCTTTGAAAGTAAAAAAGAAAACTATTTCGGAAGCAAATAATACAAACTGGTGTCAATGTTTATTCCTTAAAGAAATAAAAAAGGACCTTCATTTAGATCCCGTCCTGTGTTTTGAAATGAGTTTGTGTGCATAACTTCTCTCTCTGCATCAGGGTGTGGAAGGTACGCCTTTCAGAAAGGCAGAACGTGAGCTCACCTTACTCTACAGTTACAGCAGCCTGCTGTACTCTCAGAGAGAGAGTACGAGAGAGGACAAAAAAGATGGTAACAATAAAGCTATTATGTAGCTCATCTGCACTTTTAATGTTTATGGTTACAAATGCATTATCTTACACATGACTTTAATAATCATTAAGGAGACTTTGTTTAAAATTTATTTAAGGCTAAAATACTTTGTTAAGCAGTACTTAACTATAATATTGACTAGAAACCTTGGAGTAGGCATTAGTCAGTTAGAGTTTTTAGAAACAAATATCTAAATCCTTCCCCAAACATCGCTTAGCGCCGCCGGTTAGCATAGAAAAGGAAATAAATTAAGCTTTTATAAAAAAATGGAGCAGCAGTATACTGTGTAGCAAAATCCAAAAGCTAATAATGGTTAGAAAAATTAAATACATAAGATCCTGTAGATTATATAAATAATATGACAGTAGTAAAGGATATTCTCCCTGTGGTGTTACACCTATTATTGCATTAAAATATGGTTATTTTTTTGTTTCTATTTTTCCTCAAAATTTTTCAGACAGGCAAAAATTCTTTTCGGCCGTGAGCGATGAGCTTGTTTGTTTGGTCGACACCCTGCATCTGTGTGTTTTTGGCCCTGATCCTGTAAGTTTCCATGTTGTGTGTTTCATTTATTGTTGCATTTGGATGTTTTTAGACACCAGACTGAAGAAGTACTCAGAGAATGGATTTTTAGAGTCACATGTTACAGATATCCTGTCCATGCATGTTTTCTGCAGGAACTGCAGCCTAATCCAGACCTTGTTTTTGATATTTTGGTATTTCTTTGGAAAAAACTAAAAAATATCATGCAAAGTCATTGCCTGGAAATCCAAGACTCTATCAATGATCAACAGAAGCTACAGTGTTATGACAAGGTTTGTTTTCTCTAGGAAATATTGTTTAAAAAGCCAAGTTTATATGTAAAAGAAGTCAATTAATAATTTCAACATTGTAGAAAAGGGAGGATCCACTAGTCTGCTTTCTTGTTTTTTATGTTTCTTGTGAACATGTTGGCAGTTGCTGTGGTGTCTCTCTGTGATGTGTGAGGTGGCCATTATCTGTGAGGTGGCCAATGTTGACTGCATTATGGTGGCAGAGATGATCCACGTGTTGGGTGAACATGTTGAGAGAGTCCTTGGCCGTATTAATCAGGCAGAGCGATCAGGTGAGAAATGCCTCTGTGTCGTTCTTCATGTAGAGCCACATAAACACAGGAACATGTAACGTCTTACAGACTCTGACTCAGATACTTTTTTATTTCTTTATGGCAGTTTGTGGAAGATCTGAGGACATGAAGCAAAGCCCTTTTTCTCTTCTTAAGGTGTGTGAGTGACTTAAATTGCTATGCAAAAAGACCAGGATTTTATGTGATAGATTGAGACAAAATAGCTTTATCTTCTTAGAAGTGCAGATTTGAAAAGTGATTTTGTCTTTGTCAATTTAACACTTTATGGGTTATCTAATCTGTTTCTTTTTTTTTTTTTTTTTTTACCATTTAGATGTAGCAACCAGCTGTAATCTGAACCTAAATTTGTAAGCTTTTTGCAGTCTCAGATAGGTTTTCTTCAGGAACTGCCCCGCACTTTGCCTGGCCATTGCATTCCTGCGCTTGACTTAAATTCTGCTTACAGAACAGTCTGGGCTTTCTCCCATTCACTTGGATTCCTGGATTCATTATACAACACTGATAAAAATGTTGTTGTTGCTTCCATGTTTTTATCATCATCTTTATCAGGAGCGATGTTGTGACGATTTTTCTATAGGCAAAGTTTTTGAAGAGACAGAGACCCAATTTCAATGCATCAAATTTCTTTTAAGTCATATTTGATATTTAATTTTTATAACAACTGAAGGTGACATAGTTACTTTATTTTGCTATAAAATAGCACTATATGACTGGAAAATACATAATACTGTCCCTTTAAAATTTCTGACACACCGTGTGAATTGTACGTTGGCTAAGAGATTCAATTTTTATCCGACAGAACCAGAGCATCTTCTTTTACATATTTACTGTATTTATAGTAAGATCAAATTACAGACATGTGGTTTCTATTTATTAAATAGCCAACTCTCAAACCAAGTGGTTATGATCATTTTTGAACACTCTTATTTTAGTTCCTCTAAACATCATTTTCTTTGTGTTTGTACAGCACATGAAATATCAATAAATACATTAAAGTTCTACTTTTATAGGAATCAAACACAAATCTACTAAAGAAGGTGTGTGAAGTGACAAAGAAAGGACTTGATGCTTTGTCAAATGGTGTCTCTGAATTGATTCCACATGATCACTCAGCCATTACTGACACTGCCTACATACAGGTAAGCAGGTGATCTTTCTTGTAATGCAAAGTTATATAAAGCTTTTACTTCTTAATGCATAATTTCCAATTGAATTGTGAAAATTCAATAGACAAATCCCTTTTTTCTGCTAGAAATGTAAGTCCCCTCATCCCTGTAGTCCATCCACTGCACCAGGTGAAGAGCAAAATGGAACAGATGAAAACGCTGTAAAGGTTGAAGAAGAAAAGGAGACTAAGGGAGAGTCAATAACTGAAGGCCAACAGGATAAAGAGTCCAAAAAATTGTTTGTGCTTGCCAAGGATTTACATCTAAGCCTGGATATCATCTACCACAAGGCTTCCGTCAAGCTTCTGCTGCTAAATGAAGGTTTGATTTGCTGCTATAATACAGTATGTATAGATAGTTCTGATTACCATAGAAGCTAAAATGTCCCTATCCTTTAAATGTTATTAATAATATGCAAATTCAAAAATAAAGGATTTTGCTGAAGCTTTGTGTTTTTTTTTTTTTCTTTTCAGTTAAAGAGTCTGATCTGCTGCATCGGATCAAGAGGAATAAGCTGTCAAAAGCTCATTTTATGATGCAGAAAGCATCAGCGGAGCACAGTAAAGGGCAGCCACATGAAAGCAGCAAGATCAGAAGTCTCCTAGAGGTTAAACATTTATGCTTAACATGCTTTACATGCACATAATTATAAAACTCATTTTCCATTTAAAATTTAAATCTGTTTTGTGGGAAAAACTCTGTTCCTTTTAATCTACAATTGTATAAATTGTACATTTATCTGAACATATCATAGAAATGCCTTCTGCGAATTAATTATCTTGTGTGTTGAAACTTCTTAAGGTCAGAATCATTTTGTTTTATCTTTGAACGTAAACAGATCAAATTGAACTAGTCATATTCAATAAATTATATAATACAGAAAGACTATTTCAGTGACTCAATTCAGTAAGTGAAACATTATATCAATTAACTACACACAAACTGATGTTTTCAAACCTAGATATCTGTAAATTATGATCATTTCTCATTCTATAGCTCATAAAACATGCCATTTAAAGTTGTAATATTGAGTCAAAGCATATTTTTGCATGGGAAAAAAAACAATTTTCATTCAGAAATATGGGCTTCAACATATGTTTAATTCCTGCATAAGGTTGGTATTTTCAAAAGGTGCATTTAATCTGACAACCGAGCTTCATCAGAACTCATCTAATTTACTGAACATGACCTTAATGTGTTACAAAAAAAAAAACAAACAGACATATTTTGCTCTTTGTGGCAAATATTATTAAAATATACAGCAATGTAGTTGTCCATAAAAAGATGCAAGGAGCATTTATGTAAAATCCAGACACATTCCACGTGGTTAAAATGAATACTCTTTTCTTTTCATATTTAGCTTGATGTTTTGATGATGACAGAAACAAATATTGTTGAATAATGTATAATAGGTATTCAATGAGGGTGTTCATGTACTTTCTTCAGGAAGCTCTCGTCCTGGTAGAAAAAGCAGAGTTGGAGGAGATGCAAACATATATGGCCAGTGTTAGGAATGTCAACGGAAAAAAGCACAAAACAGAACAAGACGTAGGTGAAAAAGCTCCACCTGCACCAATGCTAATCTCACGAACTGACCACTCCATTACTTTTGCTCCTGCTGAGTATGACTTGAAAAAACGGGTGAGATTTGCTTAGATTGAGCTATTTTTTCCACACAATCTGTTTTTCTGTCCCTTATAATCTCCTTTCTTTAGGTGAGCTGGTATCAGCTTTGTGGGCGAACAGTCCAGGGTGCCAACTCTACAGTTCGCCTTGGTGAATGCAGTGTACCAGGAACTGGGAATATGGTACCGTTTAGTTTTGAAAGGCACACTATTTGAAATTACCAATAATTTTATCTATGTAATTCATGCAGCATTTCAATTTATGTTGTAGGTGCCAGTGGTTTCTGGTGAGTGTTTGCTCAGGGTCGAGGGTCTGCAGCCCAACCAGATGTACGTGTTTGCTGTAGCAGCCTATGACAACAAGTGGCAGCTGGTGGGCAACTCTATAGGGGATACAACATTACCAGTGTTGGCATGCTTGCCCACCCCAGTGCTTTCCACATGGGCTCACTTGGCTCAGGTAAATTACGTACACAGACATAAACTTTACCAAGGAGACATAGAAACGTAAGGCAGAAACGTACATGTTCATGTAGCTTTGTTGCCTTCTCTCCCAGGTGGCATTTGACACAGGACAGTACGCTGTAGCTAAAAGAGCCTGCAGGAAACTGTGGAGTCAATACATCGATCCAGACTGTTCATCCAACAGCAAACACAACAGATTTGCTTCCAGTGGGTGAGGATGGAAACATACACAGTTCACTTTTTCTCAATTTATCCTTTTTAAAACTCTAACGAAATTGTCAAAATTCCCCAATTTCAAGGCTGCATAAGGAGACCCTACAGCACTCCTCTCCTCACACTTGCAAGATGTTTCTGAATTCCATCTTCACTGAGACAGAAATCAACATTCAACAGGGGTCTCTCCATTGGGATACATGTGGTGACAGAGGACCGTTTATCTGGGAACAGGTACATATGTCCACGTCTTGTAGCACAAAGCGACCTCATGTGGAAACCATGATGTCTCTGTTGCTAGTGTTAACGATGCTGCGGATAATAGCTCACACAAATAATTGCATTTATTTATGTGCATAAAGGAAGCCAGATTAGCAGAGACCGAGCGGATGATGTTGGCTATGGACCTGGCGATATATTTGAATGACGGTGGGGCTTCATTACGAGTTGTAGTTACCTGCTACAGGCTGCTAGCTCCTCTGATCTACCATCAGATCGCTTGCGATCCTGTGGTGCAAGTATGCAAAAAAATGACTTAAAACTATATGTACATTTAAAATAATTTTAAAATTTACAACTGTGTGTCTGTTTGAATGCCCAGGTGCTATTAAAGTGTTTTGTGGTTTTGGAGGATAATTCATCTCTTATGAAGCAAAAATGGACCGGGAACTCCTCAGAGTTCCTTTTGCACATGATTTCCTGCATCACCTACTACCTGTCAACGGTTTGTTTATGTGCACTTGTGTGCAGCTTGCGCTTTAACATTGTGGTACATTTACTGCTACAGGATATTTGAGGACCAGTCACATTATTTCCCAGTCTAAACCAGTCCAAAATGTAGGGGATCTCCCATTTGTCTTAATACACATCATAAGTTTCAAAAAGCTTTCCTTCCCGAGTTTTCTTTAGTGGTTTTGATATCCCTTCCATACTTTTATTGTCTTCTCACATCTGCTGACTGCACAATTTCTCAGATGATACATTTGATGGCAATAAAATAAATATTTTTTAACCTAAATAAACTTTTAATGGTAATTTTACTTTTAACTATCTATACTAATAAATACTGTACTACCATGGTAATCATCTAGAGCAGTAACATGTAAGCACATTTTGTAAGTTAAAAGGAATGGAGGAAAACAACATGTTTGTGTCACAACAAGAACATAGAAATGTAGTGCATAGAATGTCCCCCTTCATATGATCTCTTCCTTATTCAGTTAGATTTGCAGCTTGAAACCAGGCAGTTTTTTTCAACACGTTTATACTGAAGATAGAACATACCACATTAACCCATTTAACAATGCACCTTATCAAAGATTACTTACTTCCTTGAGTTTACTGGTGAGTTCACCTTTATCTTCATCAACAACAAAGTTTATGTTTTACTGTCTTGCACTCACAGGCACTACAAACGTTCAGAAAATATGATACGGCTGCTGCTGTGCTTGACTGTGGGCGGACTCTGGTTCAGGAAGTCTTTGATGCACATTTTAAATTTGGCAAACTAATTGTTCAAGCTGGGAATGTAAGAAAAGACACATACTGAATCTGTTTAATCATTTATCATAATACGTAGAGTTATGCATTTATATGAAATGTGGTTTATGAACAGTTCTGCTGTTATGTGTCTATGTGTAGGATAAAGCAGCTGCTATAGCTGCAGCTGAGAGCCAAAGAAAGATGAACCAGCTGATAAAAGCACTGCATGTGAAGAGCATAAGATTCATTGAATCCGAGGAGGTTCTTCACAAAGAAAATGGTAATAACAAAAATCAGCTCTTGCAGAGCATATATTCAAATTAGCTTTTGCAAATTAAATGATAAAACTTTGTGTTTAGGTTTTATTATATTTGGTAAAACCTTAGTCCAGCTAAAAAAAAAATGGTGTCAAAAGCTGAAAGTCAAAAGTTTGTTGTTAATTTATTGATATTCATATGTGGAACTTTTTAAATATCTTTTTCGCACCTTCTCCCCGTACGTGTTTGGCCATTATGTTACCCATTTTTGAAGCCCTGAGCTGAATTAAATATAGAAAATGTGAATTAATTTTTCAAACACTTGCTAGGGCATTTCAGTTCAACTCAGTCAAAAATGGTTCTTATAAACACAGCTGTCTATTTCTCCAGAGATTGCATTGGTTACCCTTGAAGATCCCAGTGTTCTTTACCGTCTGTTCCCCAGCCGGTCACTGCAGGATAACTTTAACAATGGTGAGTAGCTTATCTTTGCAAACAGTTGAAACCAGATATTTACATATGCTGCATAAGAAGCACTTAAAATAATTTCATAAAAATAATCTCTCTCAATATTCAGCCACTTATCAGTTTGGTTTTACTAACCAACCTAAAACAGGAAAACTACTGTCTGATTGTCTAAAAGTTCATTCATTCAATAAAATCAATTTATTGAATGATTAGTCAAGTTCACTCAAAGCCAGATTGATCTGTGTGTTTTAAATAGTTATAAAGCTCCAACGGAAAAAGTACTTCCTTGAGTTTGCGTCTCTGCTTCTACGGAGGACGATGGAGGAAGGCAGTCCAGATCAGGTGCTGGAATGGGGACTAGCCATTTTTCAGGCCCTCTCCAGGTTTGTTTTACTGACGTTCAAGTCTTCACAGATATCTAGGCCAGACAAGAAAACAAATTTCAACATCAACTTCAAATGTGTTCATCTTCATGATGTGATCCCTTTCCAAGTTGATAAGTCAATAGTTTTGTTACAGTGAGCCTCATCATTACAGCGTACTGCACTGATCATGCTGCTGCTCTTCACTACGCTTGCAGACGTGACGAAGTTTTGGGACTAGCCACAAAATCTGCGCAGGAAGACAGCAAAAGTAAAGAAGGAGAGAGTACGACGACTCGGAAGAAAAGTGAAGTACCTCAGGTGAACATAAAGTACACACAAATTGACATATTTAGACATATATAGCATGTGTAGAGCGCATAGCAAAAGTGTCCATACATTAGGACCGTTTTCATATCTTGTTATGTTACTACAACAAGTTTAAGTTTTTACTTTGGATACAACAGCAAAAAATTTTGCATTATTGTGAATGAAAGCGAAATAATACATGGATTTTAAATTGTCCAAAAACTTCTACTGTTTTATAGCTCAGGTGAGAAAATCTGTTGACAAGACAAGTATTGGCGTTAAACTGTGGCACATAAGTTGAAACAAACACATAAGTTATTTTTTTCATCTTGCCGTAAGCCATGTGGGGGATACAGGACATATGTAGAGGAATGTGCTCTGGCCAGGTGAGATCAAAAGTGAAACTTTCTGGCCTGCATTCGAAACGCTATGTTTGGTAGAAAACTTTATCGGCACCTCAGCCTGAAAACACCACCATGCTGTGGGTAAGCAGATCATAGTTGATGGGGAGGTAGTTGGTGCTAAATACAGAGTAATCCTAGAAGAAAACCTGTAAAGTTTGCAGAAGAATGGAAGGTCGGGTGGAAGGTCGATCCTCACCCAAAACATACAGCCAATGAATGGCTTATGTTCAAGTATGTTTATGTGTTCAACTAACCCAGGGAAAGTCTAGGTTGGAATTTGTTGTAATAATGCAAAACATTTTGCAACATTTCAAGGAACAATATATAGAACATTTAAGTAATGTGTTATGCATCTGCACAGCTTTTTTTTTTTTTTTTCAGTGAAGCCTTTTTTGTGTTTTATAGCAGGGTACAACCACAGCTGAGGAGCTAAGAAGAAAGCTTAGGAAGAAACTGCCACGGAGCTTGCTGAAGAATCTGAAAACTCTCAGGTATCGTTCATGGATATCGATGGTCAAGGACACTCAAATTGCAGTATCGTAGTTTGGACTAACAACTTTCGTGTGTGTGTGTGTTTTTAGAGAGCTGCACATTGTGGAGCATTTACTGTTTTTGATGTCTTTTGTGGTGCAACGCAACAAGAAGCGGATTCATCTGAGGAACTTAGTAGCTGACGAGAGAGCAGAGAGATCTTTCCTTAATTACTGCATGGCTACGGCACATTTAGCTAAATTTTACCAGGGCGTGCAGCTGATTAACGAAGGACATCTGAACGAAAGGTTCCCAGTCAAGATCAAGTTCCTCTGAGCAGCACTGTATTTCTGTTAACATTATGCCAATATTTATTTTTATCTTTAAAAACAAGATATTGTACATTTTATGATCAATAATTTCAGATTGCAGTGAAGCCGCCTTTGCTTTTTTTATACTTTGCTTAGGTACAGCCAGCTTGATATATGCTGGTTCTCTCTCGCCCACTCTGGCGTCATAATGAGGAAGTATTCTCTGCCCTCTTCTGAAAATAAAGTGAAATTACAAAAGGCTTCCGGCCGTAAGGCTGACATGGTGACTCCAAAAGTAGAGAGGAAACGAAGGGAGGGTGAGAAAATTACTTAACAAAAGACTGTAATGAAGTATAACGTGGCATTTTCTTTATAGCTCAATGCTTCTTTTTTTCTAGCTGTTAGAAAAGTTATCCAGGTGCCAAAGCGGAGCACTGATGAGAAAGACGCCCTCTTTCAAAATCTGCAAAAAGATACACAGAAAAGGAGTTCTTATGTACTACTGAGTTCTGTTGAAAATGCTGCTTTACATTTTCGCAGAGCAATGGTATACAAGACACGATAAACAGGGATGTTTGGCTGCTATATTTGTACCATACTCAATTGGTGTTCCTAATTGTCATCTTGCCAGGTACTGGCCCATCGTGGCAACCACTGGACAACTCTGCAGTACATGTGTCAATCTGTGTGGGACCAAAACCACAAGCTTACTGCAATGGTACAAAATGGTGCTTTAAATAAAAGTTTCCCATCGGTCATAACTGATGAGCTGCAAGCCATCTTCACCCCTCTTCTGGTGCTAGCCACTGATTTTATGCTGGACATGCTGACTAAACTTCAGGTCAGCCTAATTCTACTTACACAGATGAACATTTTATGTAAGGTTTTTGTGATATTTTTGTGAGTTTCTGTCACGTTCTTTCATTATCTTCCCACCAGATTTGGAGTTTGTACGATCTCGACGTGACCGTCGAAGAACTTGAGTCGCGTCTCCACTTCTCGCTCCCCTATGATGACTGCTTCCTGGTGGACCTGCGCTGGGTTCGAACTTTGGTGTTATACACTCTTGAGCAGCTTCATTTCTGTGGAAAATGGGAGACCCTGGCACACTTTGCCTTACTATATAACTCATACACACGGTGAATAAATTATTATTATTTTTAAAAAGAAATGAAAAGGTTCAAGTGGTATGAATGCTTTTGCACTATGCTATGATCAATGCATGTAAAGCAAGGGTGTTTCATACAAATTTATTAGATATTTTGCAGTTTCATTCTATGACCTAGTCCTGCGACTGAAGACTTTAAATTTGAAATTAATTTATATTTGTCCCTAGGGAACGTTACGCCCTGATGATAGTTCCTCTGCTGGTTCACGCTCAAAGGAACCTGCTTGAAAGAATTTCTTCTTTTAAAGGACCTGCAGTCCCACAACCACACCATGTCAAGACAGAGAACACCACTGGGAAGAAAGTAGGGCATGCACAAAACAGAAATCACATCTTACTTTGTGTGATAATAGAAAATCAAAAAGTCACTTACAAACCAAAGTAAGTCAAGACTTTAGGTCACATTGTAACAATAGTACCATCTGAAAATTATTCCTGTGTGGTTTAACTTTATTTTAAAAATATCCTTTTATTATAATTTTTTTTTTTTTTAAACATCCTAAGTTTCCAATAGTATTTCAACATTGCGTGTTGCCGGAGACTCGAGGGAAGTTTTAGTGCAATACCAAGATCAGTCTTGTCCAGTTGTGTATTGTGTACATTGAATTTTTTGTGTCCTCCTCTTTTTTCATCATAGATAACTAACAGAACTTACGCAGGCTGCCAGCTGCTCAGTGTGTGGAATCGACCACCTGCACCGAAACAGACCTTAAACAAAAAGGGAGCAAAAAAGGTTCCTCCTAAGGATCCATTTTCACTGAAAGGTTTGATTGGACAAAATGCTTCATTCATTAGAAAAGCGCTGAACAGAGTCATAAAGAATATTTTTTTGAAACAAAAAAAATGTATCAGATCTTCCAAAGACAAACAATTGAAAGTAACATTTCTTAGTGCAAAATAAATAGAAAACGTAAAACAATGCAAAAATGTTTTGTGCTGAAGTTTCAGAATTGCCCCTGGCTATGTCGCTTGTGCGCGTTCCCCTTGTCGTGGAAGAAACCCTGAGCTGTTTTCGTGAAGCCCTCAGGAAAAGATCGCCCAGTCTTCCACTCCTCAAGCATAGTCGTTCGTTAGTTGTGCAGCTTTTAGCATGCACACAGCCCTGTAAGTTTATTGCTTATTAAACAACAGGCGCAAGTGCTCCTCTGCAGTAAAACCTCTGCTGATGTCATCCTTCAGGCTTTGCACCACAGACTCCAACTTGTCAAACTAGAGGAGGTACTAGCCGTCCAGCAAGCGAGGTGACGTTCAGCCCAGCAGTTGTTACGTCTCCGGACCTCCTCCCTGATGATCTGCTTGAGGAGGACTTTAGTTCTACAAATGCTATCTACAGCCTTCCCATCAGCCTTAACAGTGTACCAACTGTTACTGCTGCTTACACAAACTCCATCCGTAAGAATTTATAATTGCTACTATTGTATATTTTTTTTTTAGAAAGAAGCAGAATGAAAGGACAAAGTAACCATATTTGTGTAAATTACAGTGTAGGCATACAGGTCCTTAATTAAGAAGCTCTCACTGTCCTTTCTCTTCTCTTCATTTTCCTCAGAGAAACTGCAGGCTAACGGTCATGACTCCCTTCACATTTTAGCTCTGCATGAAATTGGAAACCTGCACTTTTATGCTGGAAACATAAGGTTAGAAACCATTTAAATGGGTTTATGTGGACCAATCAACAAGAATGTGTGCATTTTTTATGTCATCATTTTTCTTTCATTCATAATTTTGGTATCTGCTTGTGTTGTGTTGCCTCTAGTGCTGCACACTCCTGCTGGAGTAAAGCTCTAGACTGCATCTTCCAGAGCTCAGGTGTCATCCAGCAATGTGACGGTGTTAACTTTGAGAGCAGCTTCTCGCAAAACATTGTAAAGCAAGCTGGTATATGGGGATGCTTGCAAGGTGCTGTGCTTGCTGCAAAGATAGCGCAGTATGTTGGACTTTTATGTTGATATGCCGTTTTGTCTGTGTTTTCAAGCAACGTCCCATTAAAAATACACTTCTGCTGAGCCGCGTGTTTTAATTTGCAGGTTTATTTCAACCTCTGATATCACGAAGCGCACAAAGCGTTGTCGGCTGTCTGCTCATTTCTTTAAGGTAATCTCTCTCAGGAATGTTATGACAGTACACTGAAATTTGTGGCTGTAATGTGACAAAATGATGAAAATTTCATGAGCATGTCACTCAATTTCTTTTCCTTGTATCATCTCTGACATGGCGTCTGCTCATCCTCTTTAGTGTGTGCTGTGTTGCTCCATGGCTCACCCTTTGAAGGATCTACAGTACTCCTCACACAGCATTAGGGATGAACTGTTTCCTGGCATTGACCTTTTTTCTGAGCCCCACAGGCTTCAAGTCAACACCACAGTCGCAAGTCTTCACTTTGTTTGCCATTGGCTCTTCATCACAGGCTACTACATTACGGTATTTTTCAACATTTGTCCTCAATTTGAACTTCATTTCAGAAAACAAAATAGACTTTATTGTTAAACTCTGTTTTTTCAGCTTTTTCCCATTCTAGCCTTTTACCTCTACTTTGTGGGGCCCGTGTGTAGAGATGTACAGCGCACGGCTGAAGCCAAAATCCTCAAGGTCAGGATCGTAGTTACTGCTGTGATTTTTTTTTTCTTTTGTTAATCATCAGTGAGAAATGAACCCTATCATGTCAAACCAAACTGTGGTTTTGGAGATTTATTCAAGCTTGTAAGCTGGGAGGGCAAAGTTGTTCATTGTCTCTATCTGAGGAGAGAGAAAACACTTCTGTATGCACATATATCATAGGGGAAAAGACAACTTGATGACTCTGAACCATCCTATTGGAGCAGGAGTACAGCACAATGTTCCTGCAGTGGATACTTGTAACACTAGACAGGCATATGATCTTGCATAAGGAATAATAACAATCACACTGTCAGACAGAACACTCTCATAGAATTAAAATACAACACTTATGATATTACCTTCTCTTTTAACATGAAAATGTTTCTTTGCTACCTGATCTGACTGTTGTTTTCTGCAGATTCGTGCTCTCACAGAGTTGTGCATGTTTACTGAAGCCATTGCAGAAGCTATTCAATTCACTCAAGGAGCAGATATTTTTCTTCCATACGGACTCCACATGACCACAGCAAATCTACAAGTATGTTTACCTTTTTTCTTTAATCCATTTGAAATATGTTAATATTGCTGCATTTTTCTACAGCACTGCCTTCCTATTCTCAGATGATTAGGTGTGCTCATACAACATAAATACGGTTTTTCTAACCTGATTTTAATGGCATTTATGCTTTTTAAACAGCGTGTAAGGACTTTCTGCAGCAACGCGTCTCTTCCTGACAATGTGGAGGTAAAGTACGCAATTTCTATGACTCCACTTTCAAATCAGCTAATTAAAACCATTTTGATGTATTTATAGATCTATTCATATTTATCTACACTCTTGTATAAATGAGATAAATATACTGTTGATATGGGCTTTCCTTGCTACTGGATTTTTCACCCAAAGTTAAAAAATGCAGTGCCTATCAGACATTTGCATTATCATCTGCATTATTCTCATATTAATTTCTGGCTTGTCATGATTTATTGGAACCATCATATTTTAAGGATGGGTTCAAATAGAAACAAAAATAAATGTAAAATTTATGCTGATTAGTGAACTTCTAACTGAAACTATAGATCCTGTAGAATTTGTCAAATATCATTGTTTTATTTTAATCTAATCTGTGACGTTTATGATTATGATTAGGCTGTGGAAGACCTTGTGAACTGTGACTTTACTTCAGAGGTCTGCACATTGTACGGTCCTACGCTGTGCTCCAAATTCAACCTCGCTCGAATTCAACTAATCTTAGCGATCACCAAGTCTGTACGTGGCAGTCCTGTGCCAGGTCTGTAAGGAAGAAGCTGTTCTTTGTTGACTTTGTTTTGTGTGATCACTGTGTTTGCAAAAGAACATTGTGTTAAGGGCTGCAATGGTACTTTGTGCTGAGTATAAGCATTCAACTGTAACTTCTGAGGAACATCAAAATTGATTTTTCTGCATAAAGACGTATTGTCTTTCAGATCCTGAAGAAAGTTGTTCTACCCCAGAAAGTAAAGAAGTGCATGCACAGGATATGGCACAAGATGAGCAGGAGAGACATGAAACAGAGGGATCATCCCCTAAAACAGAGAGACCGAAAGTTGTCTGTTTTGCTAATGAGAAGACGGAGCTATCTCCAGAAAGGATCAAGGTAAGAGTGTATAAGTTCTATCCCAGCAGATCCTATTGAGTTTGCTTGCTGCAGGCCCATTCTCTATTTAACTGTCCCTGGCACTTTAAACACAGATTCTGAGGAAGTGGTGGCCCATGTGTGAAAATGTGTCATTTTCTCCTTTTATAGTTTATTTTGTTGGAAGGAGCTTCCACTTTGTTTTCGTCTGCTACGCAGCAGCTCTCCTCTCTTACCTGCAGCGAAGCTGAGAAACTGGAACTGGTGGTGGAGTTCAACCTTCTTAAAGCTAACCTCTGTCTGCAGCAAGAAAACTATGCACTGAGGTACCCACACTTCAAAGTGGATTTAGGCAACTGTTAGGTCTTTACATCCTTCGTATTTGTATAAGTTTTCTATGTTGCCATGTTTGATCGCTCTCCCTTAGCTTTGAGGCTGCAGTTTCAGCTTTGGTGTTGCTGCAGACATCTCCTGTCACTGTGACACCATCCCCTCCTGGAAGTAAACAGGTAAAGTGGCATATGTGTCCATCTATGGTGAAAACAAAGCGCGCATAAGTTTTATTTATTTATTTATTTATTTATTTATTTATTTATTTATTTATTTATTTATACCAATAATAAAAACCTTATTGAAGAGAAATATCTTACAAATGAAGTATATTCCTATATTTGATAACTTGTAGAACCACATTCCGGATAGCGCTCAATTTTAATATACTGCTTCTTTCTCCTTAGTTTCCTTCTTTATAAAAGTGCTTTTCTGTTGTGCTGCACTGAATCTATATCACCCAGAACTTATTTACAGTATGTGTTTTATGTTTTGTTAAGGACACCAAGGACCGCAGTGTACCAGACAACCTGCATAGAGACATGTCCAGGGCTGTTGAAGCCCGTGAGAGAACTGGAGCTTTGCTGTGGCTGCGCTGCCGGCTCACTCTGGTCCACTGCCTGACTGCTAACATCCCTGCTATTGCAACTCTTTTTCCAGGTTTTAGAAGCTTTTAGACTTTTTTTCCCCCCCTCCGAGTGTTTCATGATTCAATTTCATGTTAATTTTACAATAATATTACAGAAATGATTCGTAAGTATGAGTACAAATTAAATAGCAAAAACATAAGAAAACCGTAATTATTGATGTTATTGATCTATCTCTCCCTATGAATGATATGATAGCAGAAGTTCAACTATATGATTAATTTATTTTTTGTGTGTTAATGAATGGCATTTTGTCTTTCAAGGTAAGAACATTAATGAAGAAATATATCAGGTGATACAGCAGGGACTGGATGAATGTCTGCAATGGGGAGACAAAGATATTCAAGCTCTGTTTATGGTGGAAGCTGCAGAATTAGAAGCACAGAGAAACAGGATTGATAAGTGCATGGCAATGCTGAAGGTACAAACACAAACAGGGGCAACCTTTTGTTTTCTCTATTTTTAGAAATGTAGATAATAATTAAGGGCACTTTTCACTTTTCACAACATATTAATACATACGATACAGACTTTTTGTTGTAATGAATAGACAGCATGCATCTTGTCAAAAGGTGTCACATTTTTGCATGTGTTAGAACAAGAGTTAACTCATGTTATAAGGAAGTCATCATTGTCATGCAATGTCAATGACCTGTAATAACAATGAATTTGTTGTCTGTAAGAAAAGTGGAGGTTTTTTTTTTTTTTAGTAAATGTCATTTATTCGTTTTTATCTTTTTTTAGCTGCTTCTAAGTTTTTAAATTAACTTCAGATCTCTTAGCAAAATGTATACTTGGGACTTCTTTTTATCATAGACTTGATCTGTCTTTTACATGTTTTTTTTGTTTTTGTTTTTTTTTGTTATCTTGTTGCCAGTTTTAATAGTTTCATTATTACACCACACTTAATTTTAGCACCAACATGGCTAAAAGAAATAACCTAAGCAAGTCATAGCTAGGATTTAGGGTTAGGGTATATGCACCCTGAGAGTATCAACCACAAATTAGTCACATTTTCTTTTTTTTTCTTTCACTTTATTGATTCTGTAAATTCTGTCCATCAAATAGGACTATGATAAATTAAGGTTCTCCTTATATCTGTTGTTTAGAAAACAGTGAATCTCCTGTCAGGACGGACATGTATGCCACCCAGGTCTGTTCTGACTCTTGCTCGAGCCACGTTGTTGCTCAGTGACCTGAAAAAAGAACAAAGCACAACACTTCTCAGACTGACACAGAAACTCTTGGAAAAGAAGGTACACATAAAATAAGATGAAGCTCACTACATACATTCTGTCATTGTACTGATAGGAGGGAAATACATACAGTTAACCTCTTGACCTTCTGTCTCAGCTGTGCCTGTTTGATGAAAATATAATATGGCTTGATGGAAATTTAAGTTTCTCTCCACCCGGACCCAGAAACATCTACCTTCCTTACCTCGACATGCTGAACAAAATTACAGTGCGGATTGGTAAGACACGAACCCGCATACATAGGGCACAAGAAGCTAATTATTTGTGAATTTTCCAATTAAAAAGCTTAAAAGAATGACCATCTCAGAGAAGCACACGAAAATAAACTCTTCACTCATTTGGTGCTTTTTGCAACCCAGTTTGTAATATCACTTTTATTGCGTGTTACATGAAAGGATGTTATAGGATGTACTTTAACAAGTAGTATTCTAGGCTTCCTAATAAAAAACTTGTTAATGCTTTTGTCTTTATTGTTGTAATTTGTTTCGTCTTGAATTTTGAAGTATCTTGTTGAGTCCTGGATTTAAAACATTAACTTCTTTCAACAAGACTGACGTCTCTCAGAGTAGTTTAAATGAATTATGGTGCTAACTAAGCTGAAGATAAGCTGAATATATTTTTTTAAATAGCTTTGCGGTGTAATTCTAAACATAGTGTAGTTATGGCATGATTTCTTTGGTATGAAATACCAAACAACACAAGGTAGGATGCGCTCCTTGGTGAGATTTTTTCAGAAATCAAAAAATTTAATCCCCCCAATTTATGGTAAGAGCTTGTAAAGCTACCTAAAACTAGTCCACATAAATTAGCATAGTTGAAGAATTAACCTTCAAGAACTAAGAAAATTGCTGAAAAATTGTGTTGTCTCCTCTGTTACAGATTCAGTCCTGAATGTTGGCAACATGGAAGGATCAGCATTTGTCCAGTCATCACATCAGAGTGAGCACCCATCTGATAACACTGAGAAAGATTCTCAAGCAGTTTTCTCTCCGAGACATGAAAGCTGATGAATGGCAAAGCTTCCATTAGACTTTTTGCCATTTTAAGAGGCAGGAGTTTTTGCTTCACTTTGTATGACCTATTTCATTTCATTACAGGGTTATCTTTGTTCTGTATTACAACAACACAGTTATAATATACAAATAAAATTTGAGCTGAGAAACAACAAGACTGCACAATCCTAATTTGAAGAATTAAAAAATTTACTTGACTTAAACCTTTAAGAAAATGATTTCTTTCTTATTTTCACTCTTAAATTTTGAACATTTACTGTGCTTTTAAAAATATTTGCGCCCTTGCATATTTATTTGTTTTTGACCATGCCCTATTTTGAGGTAAGATAGAAATGAACCAACTGAATAGCAGCTTCATTGGTATTTGATAAATAAAAGTATAAAACAATTAAGCAAACTGATTTTTTGTGATTTTTAAAAAAAGTAAATTAATATCAGACCAGCTTGAGTAGTTGATGCAAAAAGGGTTATTAGGAGGCAGTTACTTTTTCATGTAGGACCAGGTTGTTGTGTTTTTTAACTTCCTCAGGTTATCCTTGTAGAATAAAATATTGTTTGATGATCTGACATTTGACAAAAAAATCAGAAATAGAAGAAAAATGTCAAGTGCAAGACCCTTTTCACAACTCTGTATCTTTCTTGTACAATATTTGATCGAATAAATAAACACATCCTTTTCCTTATGTCATACTTTCAATGCATAAAATACCCCAAAAATTTGCATTGGCTATCTATATTTAGATGCCAATCCTCCTCTAAAAGGGGACTCTGTATTTTGTTAAATAAACATTAATACATTCAAAATGTGAATTCAGGTGGTAAGTCGGTGAAGTGTTTTATTGTGAAACGTCACCGGAAGTGGCCGTTGTTACCATGGCTGACTTGACAGCAGGTCTGCTGTCCAGAGTAACGGTAGCCTGCTCGGAGACATCAATTGTCTGGCTCAACTGACGTTTGTTTGAGTCCACCAGTGGTTAGTAACGGGGGTCCGCCCGTTGTTCAGGCTAGTGCTGTGACAGTTAGCTCGTTAGCCGTCTTTAAATGGAGTTTCGAGTTAAAAGATGATCGCTTCACTCTCAAGAGGAAGTTTGCTGGATGAGGTTCTTCATGGGGGCTACAATGAGGTAACCCAACGTTGCCGATTCTGTGTTTGGTAAATTTGCTGAGCCAATTAGCAAGCGGACGTTGCTTACATTTTCAAAGCTTAAAAGCGCGTGCTCGTCCCTTTAAACGAACAATTAAAATAAGGTTTTGTTTTGCTTTTTTTTTTATTATTTTTTAGATATGTCAGTCTTGTACATGTGAGTAACATCGCGAGTGTAAATGTTTTCTTCCAACCAAAAAAACAACAACAAAAAAACTTGATACGAGACTTAGTAATAAAGTACTAATAAAGTAATCAATGATTCTAAATGTTTAGTATGTACTTGTTAGGCTATATCCTTACTGGAGCTCTTCAATCTTACTTTAGCTAAGGAAGCTAAATAACACAGGAAGCCAAACCTGAAATTACCTCTGCTGTGTGTAAAATGTGTGCCTTGTTTGTGATGTATCCTGATGACAATGAGTTGTCATATGAAACATCAGAAAGGATCACATGTATTACAACTAATATGTTGAAGGAATATTTAAGTCAGGAGTACAACTTTAAATAAGGGATCTGCAGGAGCGAAAGCAAAAATGAAATTATTGGGACAATAGGCTGACCTTCCTCCCCAGCGCCCTCCCTCTGCTCTGTCCTAACATAAGCAACAAAGGCTCTTATTTGTCTGAGCTTCATGTGGCCCCAATCACTAAGCCCTGCATCTGTGTATGTGTCTGTCTGTGGTGTGTTGGATGTGTGCATCTGATTGACGACTTGCAGCAGCAGCTGGCAGCATATGTTTCCTGGGTGAACTCTCAGCTGAAGAGGAAGCTGGGCCTACAGCCCATTGGAGACCTCCGGCATGATCTGCAGGATGGCTCTGTGCTTGTTCAACTCATAGAGATTGTTGGTAAATATACACAGATTCACACATATGCTGATATACAGTAGTACCACATGGTGAAGTAACTCAATTGGGGAAAAGCTTCAGCAAAACTCATTATTTTTGGTTGGATCTGCCTGAAATGATTTAATATTCAGTGGCTCTATGAGATGAGCAAAACAGTTTAGAAAATTTTAAATCTAAGTATAGTGGTCCCAAAAAATGTCTGCTTTTGTCATTCTTAAATTATCAGAATCATCCCTAATTAAGCTCAAGCTTTTTGTTTCATATGTCTAGACAAGCATCCGCTGCAATTTGCAACCATTTTTCAAAAAGCACATGGTATTCGCTGCTCATAATAGTTAATTTATTACAATCCAAACACATTTGTTGAGCTAATAAAATCTGAGTGCCTTTCAGGCTATACATTTTGTCTTTCTTTAGAGATTTTGAAGTTTTGTCTAATTGAAAAAATAGATTCGCTTTTGCAAACGTCACAAGTTTTTGGACTTAAGACAATCAAATAAGATCCAGTACAAGGCCCATTGCTGTGACTGCCGAAGTGGATGACATCATCTTCAGTCATCCACTTCCTGTAGTACTGGAGTTTGAGACCTGTAGCTTAGCATTTCACATTCTACTGCACATGAAAACATCAGCAGGAGAAACAAGGTGTTAGTTTACCAAAGACTGCAGTAGTGAGTCAGATATATTTGTAGAAGCTTTGACGAGGGTGAAGGTAGAGTGCTGTTTTGCTGCATTTTTAAGCTGCTCTCTTTTCAAGGACACAGTTTGCATTCTTTTTTCCCCCCTTTGGTTGTCTTATGTTTTTATTGAATTGTCAGAATGCGACTCACATTTGGCAAATGCCTTTTCAGTCACTTGGATTGTGTGAGAAGGAAGTTTTAATTGGGACATCACATCCCTCAACATAAGGTTCCTAATGTTCTTTATCTGTGCTTTTTTTTTTTATTATGGCAGCTGGTGAAGTTCTGCAGGGAGTCTACACACCTCCACTGAACAAAGAGGAAAGCAGAAAGAATGTGGAGGAAGTCTTAAAGTTCATTTCCTCTAGAAACATACGCATGCCACACATATCTGCAAAAGGTAAACCGCAGGCAATTATTTTTACACATTTGTTTTTACACGACTGTCGTTTTTATATCTAACCTCACTGACTGTCAGTTTCAGTCATAGACATGCCATTATAAGGTTATCTCACCTTCTCTGTCATCTTTCTGCTTTGGTCTGCACACACGCTTGGTGTCCTGTCTTTGGACAATAGTAGAAAAGCTGTTATTGCTGTATTGTGCTGGTGGAATGTGGTGAACATAAAGTAATTTCTCTGATAAGTTACTCTCTTTGCTCTTCCCGCTGAGATTCAAACTGTATCTTTTGATCACGCTTTATAAGGAGACCATTTTAACATCGTAAAAGAAAAACAGAAACACGTTTTATGGTTGATAGACATCTGCATCACAGGCTTTGTTTTGGGTTTTTAGACATCGTCGATGGGAACCTGAAGTCCATCATGAGGATTATTCTGGCTCTGGCAGCCCATTTCAAACCTTCAGCCAGTCAGAGGGCTGCGGCTGGAGGCGGGAGGAGCTTAACTAGAGGAAACACAACCCACAATCCTCTCTCCACGGTTGCTTTGGCTCAAGGGGCTGCTGCTGCTCTGGCATCCGCCCGCCTGGATGCCTCACTGCCAATACGTTTCGCACGCATCAACAGGTACGCCAGTGTTGTCGGCTGTAAGATAATTGCACATTGTAAAGAGAAACTTTTAGAGATGCCTTTCTGTACCTTAGCTGCTTTTGGATCACTATAACTTAAATCTTGCGAATCAGTACGTTAGTCTTAACTTCAATTTGAGATCTGATGAACTTGACCTTCTGTTTTCCTCCTGTCTGTCATCAGCTGTGGACTGTCGCTTCAGGCTATAGATTGCAGGCTAATCTACAATGATTATCAAATGATTATAATGTGACTATGTCCAACATAAAACAGTCTGACACCGAAATAACCACGGCCTGTTTTCTCTTATAACATTTTTTGTTGGTCATGTTTAGTCTTTTTGCCAGCCTTCTGTAAAGTGGCCTACATTGACTTACCTGGTGACTTTATATAAATAGCTTAAATAACTAAAGTCGTAAATCTATCCTTTCTGAATCATTTAATAATTTCTCAATTATGATAATATAAAACAGCTTTGTTTTTTGTTTTTTTTGTTTGTTTTTTTTTAGATTACCAGTTAGAGCATTTTAACTCTAACTGGAGAGCTAAGAAAAACTACCCTGTAATTAGTTTGTCATAATTTGTTGTTTATCCTGGTATGTTTGAGCCTACACCTACTTCGGTTTTACTCATCTAAACCATCCAGATGCAGATCTACTGAGTCTCAGAGCAACATCCTCAAAGGATTTGCTGACCTCTAATGGACAAACAAATAATATCAATCAATTATCCTCAATTTGAGCTGCTGAGCTGAGGCTCATCTTCTTATATAAAGATGATGAATCAGACAGTTCTTACACATAATTGTGTTATTTTTATTTTGCGTGTCCTCTTTTAGTGGCTGGGGGTTAGATGGCGAAAGGAGCATATGTGTCCGTGCACTGGTCCAGCAGTATGAAAGAGGAGTCACAGATGAGCAGGAGGATCCTCATCTCAGCAGGTGATTTGCTTCAGCATAAAATCAAATTACTCTTTTAAGAAACAAATTTCCACTCTGTAATCATTCCCATTTCTCATTTGATTAAAACAGACATGGTTGATATCAAGATAAATTCTTTACAATAAGCAATTAATTTTTCTTTACTTCATATTATGTTGAGAGAAGTAGGTAACCTAACAGTCAAGTACCATACCCAGGGAATTAAAAGCTCTTTGCAGGGGACCCAGTCTGCCTGCAATTTAAATCAGTCCAAATGACGACTTGTGCCAAAAATTGTAATTAAGCAAAGCAAAAGTTCTGGCAGCAATCAGGTAGTTGTTACACTTGCGTTATCATAAAAATGCAGTTATTTCTAACTTGTATTAGGAAAATGATTTTAGTTGCGTTGACTGAAATGACTTTCATTGTGAAAGTCCTAAATTATTTCAATAAGTATTTCAATCCCAGTCAACTACAGGGCTAAATAAGAATGACTGACCTCAAATACAATTTCTCATGTTAAGAAATGTATTGTCGTTAAAACATTGTTTTTTTTACATAGGAAACATTAAAATTATCTGAAGTGCATTGAGGCAAAACAGTTCTTTAACAGAAAAATTTAAAAATAGGATTTTATTTGCTGTGTTTGACACAGAATTATTGAATGAGATTAAAATAGTTGGGAGCAAGTCTTGCAGATATGAGCAACAGCAACCTAAACTCACCAAAAGAATATATTTAGTTTTTTTTGTGACTTAGAAATGTGTAGAGGCTGATTTGATTGAAGTTAACAATCATGGCTCCTGTTTTAAAGAACTTTGTGCTACTTAGAAATACATACCTTTTTGTTTCATTATTGTCTGTGTGTGTCTGTGTGTGTCTGACAGGGCATATGACTTTTGTCTTTGTCCCCTAAGCTTTTATCTTGGTTAGGATTTGTGTGTGTTTGCTCAGAGACATCTGAGCTAACCACAGGACTGATTCTTGAGAAAAAGAAATGATCTGTCTTTATTTTCTGCAGTCACATGCTGGTGTGAAGTTTTGATTTGCAGCGTTTTACCCGTCGTGAAAATAACGGCTGAAAACCAGTGCATTTATTCCAGGCTTGCTGCCTTATTAGAGGCCATCTCAGACTCACCAGAGCTATAACAATCCTATATTGGATGTTTAGCTTAACTGGGAGATACTGAGCAGTGTCAGCTGTATCGGTTGCCTTAGTAACTCTTGGCTATCTGGAGGGCAGGGGGCGTGGCTTGACAGCATAAAGATACAGAAATTGTCATGAGTTTTTCAAGATCCTAAGGGCTTAAAACAGAGGAAAGGGGCGAAGTGTTTTGTGCTGGCCGGACTGTCTGCAGCCCACTATGGGGGGAACCCAGATTAAATGGTAAGCCGAGACACAGAGGCTCTTTGAGTTTCATAATTTTAAACAACTTTAACTCGGATAAGATTGAGTTTAACTAGTGCTTTTGGCATTTTCATGCTATGCTCTTTTCTGTGTGGTTTGTCTCTTTCTGCTCTTACGTTCCCTCATTTATAAAATATATCTTTCAGCAAAAAAAATATTTATGCAAACTGACTACAATCAAGGAACACAATATAACATGCAAAATGACTACTAACTTGTTTTTTTTATATTGCATTTACAATAGTGATTGAGTCTGGTTTGTGACATGCCTTATTAATTTGAAAATCCAGCCTGTATAACAGACTGGCGGTCTAGAATGCTTTCACAACATTCAGTTTGCCTGTGGGCATTTTTTGTTCTGCATTCATTGGTACGGTTTTTCAATCCTCTGGCTAAAAGCTAACAGAATTGCCTTTAGCATCGGTGAAAATATGCATGTCACAAACATGGTTAAAGTGGAGATCCAACAATCAGAATTTTGCAGGCAATTTCTGATCTCTAGTTTTTGTGATGCAGACTTCTCTTTAAGAATTACTATAAAGTAAGATAAAGTGTTCAAAATCCGTCGGCTGGAAGCTCTGTTGACCAAATTAAAAGCAACCATGGGGGATAGACTCAGATACTGCCAATTCATTTGGCCAGTGAAACATTTACCAATAGATCGATTAATTAGTGTTTTTGTCTCTCGTGAGCCTCAGCTCCGTCACTCCACTGCCGTCACCAAGAAGTCAGCAGAGCAGCAACTCAGTCCGACAGGCGCATGACAGCCTGCAGCAGGAGCAGGAGAGCAGTGGTACGTCCTGTCGAGCCTACAGTGAGCATCACAACATACTCACTTGGCTTGTGTCACTCATTTCTGTGTGTGCTCGTAGTGGAGTCATCTAATGCTGTAGTGCAGATGGCACTGGAGGATTCTCTGAGTGAAACCTTGGAGAAGGAGGTTCAAGAGACACGGAAGATGGTGTCTGCCCTGCAGGTATGAAGACGAGGATGAGGCGATAACATTCCCTTCTTTCAACAGTATTAAAAGTTGAGGATGATTTTATTGTTATCATGATAAAGGTGTTAATTAGTACTAAAGTTATGTTGATTTACTCTTTTTGCATTAGCTGAAACTAATTTGTTCCCACATTGACGGTGAGATGTTTAAGCCTGTTGAGAATAACGGTTAACAGTTGTTTATATATGACAATAGTCCATCTGTTTTGTTTTGTTTTTTTTTCCTCTGATTTGATAGAATTCTACACAATTCTTGATTTAATAACGCAGCTCTTATCCAATAATTTCACACTGTAATCATAGAATTGCAAGAATGTGTAACATTTCTTAAGATGAATCGATCTTTTATTGCAGTAGCTAAATCTCACACTGGAGGTCATTTATTTCATGAAGCGTTACAAAAAACACTACTTTCAATTATTATTAAAATTATTAAATTATTCCTAAGTGATCATTATGTCTTTCACTCTTCCAAAGCATCATGAACCCATTGTTTACCATTCTGAACATTGGGCATGTTTTTTTCTTTTATACATCTTTTGTCTGAAGTCGAACCCTCTTTTACTGAAAAACTTAATTTTACTCTCATGTGACCAAAGCGCACAGTTCAAGTTACAGGTTTACATTTGTGATGGTAGAACAGAAAGTGGTTTAATTTTTCTTCTTTTACTCCCATACAACCAGTTGTCATCCATTGTTGCTGTGGAGGTTTTGGTCGTCCAAAGGTGCAGCTCGTTGCAGCAGTTTTCTAAAAGTGTGTGATGGCAAGAGGAACATAGTGACTCGTCTATTCTGGAGGCCAGAATCTAAGAGAAATTGACCTCTGCATCATTCCCTTTAACTAATTTGATATATGGAGTATAAAAAATACCACCTTGATTTTTATCTAATGGTGAGATTGTGCCTCTGCATTAAAAGATGGAATTATTTAAATTTCTTCTGCACACCTTTATGAGGGGTGCCAATAAATTCGGTTGGCTTTATGAGGAGATTCAAAACATAGCAAAAGCTACTGAAAGTATAACAAAAAATGTCATGTCTGAAACCTAATTGTAAGACCTTCATCTATGGCTGTTTTTTGTTCCATTTGCTTAGTTTTTGTATATTTTGCACAAACTTAACTTCACTTCAAATAAAGGATAGTTTGTCAGCTAATGGGTGTGTGGCTTCACTGCAAAGTACAAATTGGTGTCACATGTTAGACTGTGGGTATTTTTCCAGGCTCTGTTGCTGCATGGCTCTCTCCCTGAGGATGAACAGGATGTGTCTTTGACATTGGAGCCAGTCAATGCTGAACAGCAGCTGGTAGGTTTCAGTTCACTTGATTTATTTATCTTTTATAACCGTTGATTCGATTTTCTGTCCGTCCGATTCTTTTTGGTCTCAGTTCTGAATCTCTTGAGTTTTTTGTGCTCGCCGCAGATCACATTACTTTTTCCTGAGCCATTTGTGTATGTGCGTGCTTGTGTATGTCAGAGAGCGACACGGATATCAGTTTCCCTTTATTCTCCCTTTGTTGTAGTTCTCACACACCTTTTTCTCTTCCAGATAGTCACTCGCAGCCGTTTGGATCAGAGTATGGAGGAGGTCACAGAGCTGAAGGTACACAATACCTTATCTTTTTTATGCTAATATTTGATTTATTTGGTCTGTCAGGAACAAGATTATTCTTACAACTGCAGAATGCACTCTGGCATTAATGTTTAATGCATTGTGTTCTTTGCTTCTCGTGTTAGAGGGAGCTGTTGCTCTGCAAGCAGGAGATCAGAAACCTGCAGGCAGTTAAGGTGAGTTGAAGCAGCATTTTTATAATGTTTGTAATAATTTTCCGATTCAGATCTTGACTTTGTGTCTGGTTCTTATTGTGCAGGAAGCCCAGCAGCAGAGGCTGTGCACTCAGGAAGCGTCTATACTGCAGATGAAGCAGGAACTTCTCCGAGCTAGCATGACGAAAGACGAACTCAACAACCACCATGTAGGAAATACATTCAGGCTTCTCTTAAAAATTCTTTTCCCTTTTCTTATTTACGATCGTGGGAAAATCATTAAAACACTGCACCTAAAACTTGTCTCCAAAATGGTATTTATGATGATTGTTTAGAAGTAATTCTCCTTTTCTGTAATGATGTGTTGTAGGCAGAGCTGAAGTGGAAGCTGGAGGAATGCAACAGGCTGTGGGGTGAATGCAAGGTGACAGGCTTGAATAAAATTCATTTGGTTTAATTAAGCTCGTTTGTCAACATCAAATGAGTTTGAGTTGAATAGAGAATCTAATATGTCTTCTCTATGTGGCTGGAAGCAGAAGGACGTCGGCCAAAAGGACAGATTACTCCAACAGTACAAACACAAACTAGAAGAAGGCCAAAAGCTCCAGGTATGTTAATTTGCTGAATTGAGGGCTGAAGTGAGCTACTTTAATAATTCAGACACTCTAACACCCTGCTACAAAAGTTAAAAGATTCTCAGCAAGACTAATAATGAATCATGCATAACGGCTTGAGGGTCACTGGTCACTGGCTTTGAACTTATTCTCAGATGGTTAGGGTAGAGTTATGCATGAGGTACGTCATAAAGTTGGCAAAGCTTGATGTTTCTCAAAATGTATTTGATTTCTTCCTCTTTAGAACCGTGTGACAGGTTTTAGACATGTCAACATCTGTGACACAATAAACAGGGAGACACCAGCGAGTTATTTTTGGTCAATCTTCATACATGAAATGTTCCCAACTTTTGATCATGTCACTTTCTTTATAGGCTGAAGCACAGAGAGAGTTGGAGCACAAAAACGACATGCTACAGGAGCTGATGAGTAGAAATCTGCAAGAGGTAATGCTGTTTCTGTGCTTTGCTGGGTGTTTTTTTTTTTTTTTTTGCTCCCATGAAGAACACACCCATACAACCTACAGCCGTGTTTTGTTTCTTTTGTTTTTTTCTTTATCAGATTCCAGTCAGCGCAGAAAACAATGGATATTCTTACTCTGGAAACCCAACTCCTTCTGTATCGGGTGTAAGCATTATTTCTCTTTCTATCAGTTGAAGACTGAATAGATTTACTGTACATTTCATTTCTGTCATATTAAGGTTGACGTGGTCCGATTGCCCATCTCATATCAAAATGTAAATATGTGAGCCACACATGTTTTTGCATCTTAGAATCAAATCAGAAATCTTAACATGAAATGGGGAGAGGGAGAATCTCCTGCTCTAATCTGCCTCAGGTGGTAATCACAAACTGATGAATGTTTTGGACTGGATAGCCTCAACCAGTTAGATAGAAAACTCCTAACATACACTTTATTGCTCAAATGAATGTTGCTAATTGTCACTTTTTTTCTGAAATATGAATTGCATGTGACATAGAAACACTTCACAAGTGGCTCAACTTGTATGATGTGCAAAGACAAAGTGATCTGTGCGAAATGGGTTCATGGTGCATTTTCACTGCGGCTCTGTGGGCTGAAAGTGTGTTTCGGTTTTGCTCTGCCAGCAGGCGGAGGAGGTCCAGCTGCTCAGAGACGCACTGAGGAGCCTGCGGATCAACTTCAGAGACCATGACCCGCAGCACCATACACTGGACACCCTGGAGCAGGGAATAGTGTCACTCATCGACAGACTGCATGTCGTGCATACTCACAGGGTATCACGGCTTCATACTAATGTCCTGGTTTAGGAAAATATTTTTGAAAAGAACATTTCTGGTTAAATGTGTACATATAGATGCATATTTATTTACACTCTTTTAAGCTTTTAAACATGGTCCATTTCCAGTAGGCTTGAGTTTGATGCCCTTCCAGAAGCATAATATTGGCCTGCTTCTTCCATTTCAAAACCAGTTTCGATGTGTGTTCAGGATTAAAGCTGATCATTGGATCTTGAGTGCCCAGCCGAATTTTATGGCGTCTTATTGCTAAGTCAAATTTCTTTTAAGTTATTTTTCATATGTACAGCATTTTCAAACCGACTGAAGTTACGCGATTGTGCTACAAACTGGCACCTTGTCCCTGGAAAATACACAACACAGCAGTTTATAGAAAATCCACATTACAATCTAACACAATGTCATTGCTTACTGCATTATTATTCCACCTTGAAAAAAGTTATGTTTTTTGAGGGCGATTTTATTACGCTCTAAATATTTTTTCTTTCCGTTTGTAGGGCAGAGGGAAATCACCGAGACGGAAAGGTCAGCACATAGATTTGGACTCTTGGGCCTCCTTCCGTAAGAATCTCTGCTCTGTCAAAAATTGTAATTGTGACGAAACATTTCTAACTTAAAACTTTTTTCTAACTGAAACTGCTGTTTGCTGCAGAGAGTTGTCAGTCACAGAATGGTTCTCCTTCTTCTACAAAAATCCTTTACTTTACTGGAAAATCCCCAACACCCTCCATGATCAATATTCCCAAGAGGTTTGTGTCTTTGTTCGTTTACAATGAAATATATGTTTTCTTTGACGCTATGTAAGAAAACATAGCTTCTGTGTACCATTCATCAATACGACTGATCCTGACAATGCAGTACAAATAGGACATACGATAAGCAAAATGATTCGAAATGTCATTAAAAACGAAGAAAATGTAATTCTTTTTCTTGACATGCATTATGCAGGCTGGGTGAAGTAACTCTGAAGGATGTTAAGGCGGCTGTTGATCGAGAGGGAAACTATAGGTACCACTTCAAGGCTCTGGACCCAGAGTTTGGCACTGTAAAAGAGGAGGTAAGTCTAAGACGGAGAGAACGATAAAAACAGGGCGACAGTGGGCCACCATTTACTAATGATGGTGGCTGCATGCATTGGCACCCCTCATAAAGATGTGTTAAGTTTACAAATATATATATTTTTATAATAATCTAGACCTTTTATCACTAAAGTTTAGTTTGCTAAATGTTGTAGGGAGTTTAACCGGAAACCAGCTGAATTTAGATGAGACTGAGATTGAGCATTTCAGCAAGATGCTATGTCTTCGTTTTTCTCCAGGTGTTCCTGGATGGAGCAATTGTTCCAGGCTGGGAGGGAAAAATAGTGGCCTGGCTGGAAGAGGACCACGGCGATGAGAGGTAATAATCACTGTTCTGTCTCTAAGCCATTTTAATTACTCTCTCATTGACAAGAGACTCATTTTCTTTTTTGTTTTAGACCTTTGTAGATTCAAGCGGAGCAGCTACGAATTATGCACAGTGTTGGAGGCTGGACAAATTAGCACAATGCTGTAAGAACATAGCATTTTTTAGATTATTAAATATGAACTGAATATCTCTGTAGTCTGTGCAAAATATCTGACAACAAGGAAATTATAAGACTCTGTGCCTTACCAAGGAAAGCTGATTTTATCATGTTCCTAATGCTGCCACACTATAACTGCTGTAGAAAAATAGTCGAGAACATTATTTGTGGACTAAGTGGAATAGAAACTACTGTACTGAGGCTTGCATGGAGAATTAGAGGAAAAACAAATATGTTTCATAGTTATTTGTGCAACTACATTAGTTCTTGTTTAAAGAATATAAAATTATAAACTAATTAGAAACAATGTCTGCTTGGAAGATGGAATAGATAGGATGAGACAAAACAGATTTACAGGAATTTGCCTTTTTTTTACTTTTGTAGGACAAAACATTTTGTCCTACAGTTGCAGTTTTGCATGCCACCTAGCGGTAGTAGGAGAACAGAGAACAGTTACAGTTGTATAAAGAAAAAGCCTTAAAGTATCTGAACTCATTGTCATTGGAAAAGCACATGTATGCACCCATGTAGAAATTTAGACAAAAAGGCCTCTTCCCACACCTAACTCCGTTTTTTGTAATTGTAGACTATATCTCTTAATATTTTGAATAAGATCATATTTATGTTGATGGTGTATTTGTCTAGAGATTTTTGAATAAAACAGCCTTTTTTAAGTGTCAGATTTTAATGTTGGTTCAAAGCAAACTTTAGTTCTTTCATAATTAACCATTCCATTATTTATGCTGTTTATTTCTCAGTATGGAGGTTTGCATATTTGTGGAAAATTCTGACTGATCTCTCACTAACAAGCCAACTGAAACAAGTCTGTTTTGTGATCACATGTATTTAAATGCCATGACTGCATCTACAGTAAAAATTCTGGTGAGATGGTATTTTCCCATTTGTGGTGTTTGTTGAGATTTTTTTTTTTTTTTTTTTTTGCAAAGTATGGATATTTGCATGTTTTGGGAGGAAAAGCCTTTGACTGTTTCACATTTTGAAATAAAATTTTTGTATGCCGCTTTTTAATGTACATTTTCATCTATGATTGTGCTACTTTCTTAATATTTTTACCAATAGCTGTGTTGTGTTGTATGCTTACTTGCACTTAAGAAATGCTCTAATAAGAGATTTTTGGCAACTTATTGTTGCCCAATTTATGATTACACGGAGTTGTTCTTCAAATACAGCTACAGTATAAATAGGCTAGAAATATTTAATTTAATGTTTTATACTGTTATGTTTGAACTACTTTTACACTTGCTCATCTGTGTGAATGAAGTGGTGCCTTGACAACTGGAATCTTTTTATTTTTGTCATGTTAGAACCACACAGTTTTTTGGTATTTTGGTAATATTGTGGGCCAACACAAAATGGTTCATAACTGTAAAAGTTGTATGTAGTTTTCAAATTTAAAAAGAAATTAAAATATTGAGCATAGTCTGTTTAGCCTTTAATGCTGATACCACTAATCTAGTGCAAGTACTTAAAACTTTGAACATCACCCTAGGCACAATACGGGGCCGCTGCATACATACTGAAACATGGCCGTCCACCTAAACTTATAGGCCAGACAAATGAAGCATTAAATAGAGAAAAGGCAAGAAGCTCACAGTAACTCATAGAAGTTGTAGAGAGCCACAGATAAGCTGGAAGAATCTGCCAAAAGAGAAAACAATTCATAAACATTGTAGTTCTGGAAGAGAGAAAAGAAAAAAAGCCATATAATGTCCTATTTGCATTATGCTTCAGTCAGTCCATGTGTAGGACAGAGTAAACTAAAGTTGAGCAACTAAAATTGATCAGAGAAAATACATCAGATGAATTCCTCCATGTAGTGCCATTTTAATTTATTTTACGTTACAACAACCATTAATGTATTTTATTGGGATTTTATGTGACGGAACATCACAAAGTAGTGAATAATTAAGCAGAAAGAACATTTTTAGGTTGTGCTGTTTTGTTCTATGGGTATGCCATTTTTACTGCCACCATGTGCCTCCTCGTGGTATTGCAGTAAACTAACTTTACACCTTTTCAATAGTTTATAGCGCATACCAAAGCGTGTTGTAAATATTATTTTTTCATTTACTGCGTTTTGAATTCTAGCTTCATTTCAAGCTTTGGAGATTATTGCAAGACTAAACTTTGGTGGCCAACATTTACGACACCTCCTCTAAAGACGTTGTCGCAAACTCCAGTCAACCTGAGCCGTAAAGCGTTGTGTTTTGGACTGGAGGAGGTCATTAGAAAGTGAGGAGGAAGGAGTCCGGGCACAGACTAACTCAGTGCCAGCTAGTTTCTGGTGCCGATGTGAGGCAAATACATTATTTAACAACCCCGTGTAGAATTTCAAGCGCTGCGAAATGATTCGTTTAATTCTGCGGCTCAGGCCGTCCGCCGGGCTCTCCTGTCCCCGTGCCCTCCCGGCGGGGCCTTCAACACTCGGCTCTCGGTCTGTGCCCGTCACCGGCTGTCTGAGGCGGCTTCACTGCGGAGCGGGCTCCCGAGTCGTTTCCCTAGGTTCGAGTCTCGGTCACAGAACGACTCTCCTGCGGTGTCCTCAGCTGGCTGGTGGCTTTCAGAGCAGCCGCTTCTACAGTCTCCCTCCTCACCAGAAGGTAAGGTTACCTGACCGGTTGCTATAGCACCGAGGCTCACGGTAGCAGCTAGTAGCGGAGAGCGGTCAGCTACACCAGGCAGCAGTCACACCTGTAAGAGTCGTGACGCGGCGTTTCTTTGTAATAACTGGATTTAAAACTATCAAGTTGACACAGCATTATGTCGGTACAAAATTTTAAACTTTGTAATACGTTGTGTTTGTTTGTTAAAACGATAAACTCTGACCTTAACAGTGGGGACGTACAGCGCCTTGCCAAAATATTCAAACCCCATGTTAATTTTTTTATTCTTAACATCACATAACATCAATGATTTATGACGGATCAAAACAAGTTCATATAATAGTGAAGAAGAAAAATGATACACAGATTTCAATTTTGGTTATAAATAATGTACAAACTGTGACGTGGATTTACTGCAGAGCTGGCATGTTCTTGTAAAGTGACCAGCATCCCTACTGAAAAACAAAAATAAAACATCCCCACAGCATGAGGCTGCTACCACCATGTTTCATTATGCGGATGGTGTGTTCAATTTCAGAATGATGAGCTGGATTGATTCCTCATCCATTTCCTTTGATTGGGCCATTCCAAAAAAAAAAAATAATAATAATAACAATAATAATTTGCTTTGATTTCAACCATGTAGGTTTGAAACTATGTTTCACATTGCTGTCCTGCTGGAGTTTGAACCTTTAGGCTTTTTTAATCTCTTACAGGTTTTTGTAACAAATATTTTTATAAACATTTTACGTATGGAAACATTCACATTATTCTGTGAGTTTCTGATGTTTTTATTCCACTATTCAGTGTCATTTGATGTCAAAAGTAACCAACTTTTTTTTATCTAAATGCACTGCATGAAGAATCAGTTTTTTTTTTTAATCTGCTGTTCAGAAAGAATTCAGATTAATTAGCAGGGATTTGATTTAATACCTTTGCAGAAAATGTTATTTAAGCATCAGTAGTTTGGTGAATCCATACTGACTTATAATAAAGTCTTGATTTAGAAAAAATAAATGTTTAAAACAAACATTTTATTTTCAAAATCTTTAATGTGAAAGAGCAGTCAATATCAGTCCTTTTTTTAAAATTAATATTTTATAAAGATATTTTAATATTCCAGACATTTTCAAGTCTCCTCCTTCTGCTTTTCACAATTCATATTTTCTATTAGATAAATCATTTATTTCCTCTCTTTAGTGTAATGTAGGTTTATTTTGGGAAACCTCCCCCTCTCCTGTCTGCTTCACAGCTGGCAGCTCTTTCTTATCTCTGCTATCAGATGTCACTTGACCCGCTTTGCCACCGTAAAGTCTGCAGATGTGATGAAATCGGACTTGTGGGCCATTTTATTGAACAGTCAAATGAGGCGATGACGACGCTGCAACTCTGCTCACAACAGCTGACATTATTTACAAATCCTTTTTGATGAGATTAATATAACGTGATGTTTTTGTTTTTTTTTGGATGTGTATTCTTTTAGCTGACTTCCCTGTTCTTTCTTGTTGTTAATCAGGTGGAGCTTCCTGCTCTCTCGCCCACCATGCAGACGGGAACAATCGCTCGCTGGGAGAAGAAGGAAGGAGATAAAATCAGTGAGGGGGACCTTATAGCTGAGGTTAGCTGCTGTCTTATTGTATAAATGTAAAAAAAAAATCCCAGTACAATCCAAAAGTATATTACATATTTCACTTTTTATTTAACCACCTTTGCAGGTAGAGACAGATAAAGCCACCGTAGGCTTTGAGATGCTGGAGGAATGCTACCTAGCAAAGATCCTGGTCCCTGAAGGCACCAGAGACGTCAATGTTGGATCAGTAATCTGCATCACAGTTGATAAGTCAGTGCTCTGTATTTATATCGATTCATGGCAAACTTTCTACTCATTCAGAAAATGACCAAAGGAGGAACTAAATGTGCAAATGTTCTCCTCCAGCCCAGAGCTTATCCCAGCATTTAAGGACGCAACGTTGGAGTCTGTCAAATCTGTTGGTGCTGCTCCTTCATCTGCAGCTTCTGCTCCTCCTCCTCCTTCACCTGCCACGGCTCCTCCTCCTGCAGCACCAGGCAGCTCTTACCCCCCACACATGAAGGTAAGGGTAGTATAACATCAAATACCATCAGGTGTGCACTAATAAGAGGGTGAAAGTGACGTGAAACTTCTGTTTACAGTCACAGCTTGTGCCAGCTGACGAGTTATAAGGTGGATTCTCTGTATGTGACTCACGCTTCAGTGAAAAAGTATTCATACTCCTTGAGCTATTTGTAGCATTGCAATGTCTTTATTTTTTATTGTCCTGTTGCCTTCAGACACGGATAAATACAGACAGATGAGCACAGTAGACAGGGCAAGAAGAAAGTTGTTGAAGTCTTAAACATTTTTCGGTTTTAAAACATCCCAAGCTTCGAATGTGTCACAACCTATTCTCTGTAAATGGGAAAAAACTGCAACTTAAAACGAGAAGCAGCCGAGAGCCCCATGAAAACTCTGGAGGAGCCTCAGGAATGCCCAGCTTAGGTGGGAGGGCGTCTCAAACTAAGTGTGTGAGTTTTTATTGATGCGCTCCATAACTCTGGCTTTTATGGAAGAGTGGCAAGAAGCCATAAAAAATAAGCTTTACAGTTTGACAAGCTTTTGGGACGCTTCTCTCTCTCTTTTTTTTTTTTTTTTTCCAGAATTAATTCGAAGTTGGATGTCGCTGAATACAATGAAAACTGCTGCTGAAAACAAATACAGCTCAGATATTTATGTATGGAAAAAAAAAATTGTGTATTGCTTTCTTTCAACTTTATACTTTCACTGTTTGGTGTTCGTGTAACAAATCAAATACATTGAAGTTTGTGGTTGTTATGTGGCAAAATGTGACTACTGAAGGGATAGGAAGTTTTTTTTCTGACCGATTGCAAGGCTGTGACTTTGTACTCTCTAAGCCTTTGGCTGTTGTGTACAACAGATTGCACTTCCTGCACTCTCTCCCACCATGACGATGGGAACAGTGCAGCGCTGGGAGAAGAAGGTTGGAGAAAAGTTGAGCGAAGGAGATTTACTGGCCGAGATCGAAACTGACAAGGCAACTATTGGTAGGTCCAAATGGAGTTGGAATCAAAAAAAAAAAAAAAAAAAAAAAAATCTTCCAGATGTTTTTTTTTTTTTTTTTTTTTTTTTTAACTGCATGAAAATTAACATCTCCTGTTTCTGTGCAGGCTTCGAGGTGCAGGAGGAGGGCTATCTGGCTAAAATCCTGATATCAGAGGGAACTCGGGATGTTCCTTTGGGAGCGCCGCTCTGCATCATCGTAGAGAAAGAAAGTGACATCGGTGCCTTCAAGGATTACGTAGAGACCGGGGTGGGAGACGTGTCCATGCCACCTCCTGCTCCCGCTCCCACTCCTGTAACGGTGGGACATTCATAAAGTTTCTTCTCAAGCTGTGTTTACACGTGGATAAAAATCGACACATTTCAGTAATATAGGTTAATTAGGGGTTGGTGATGTGAGAGCAAAGCATTAAGTTAATTAAGCAGGAGAATAACATTCTGAGTTATGATTACCTGGAAACACAAGAGAATCTGCTTTGAGTCAAATAATCAACAGGTCCTATCAAAACTGGAATCTGTCCATAGCTGCTGTTTGCTCTGTGGAGCCCCATCAGTTGTTAAATAGGTAAAATATTTAACAACAAACTCTACCTTCATTATGATGTTGTTGTTTACCTTATAACAGAAATCAGGTTTCTTATTTGGCCAACCAGTATGAGACAGAGTGCACTTGAAATCAGAGTTTTGTTTTTATTGTGGTATTTTACTACATCACCCACCTTTCTGATTAATGCATTAAGACAAACCCAGGTTTCTCTGTGATGCAAAGTGTTTTGGTCAAGTTGAGCCGATGTGTAATTGAAAGTAGATTGGTGAGCATTAATAAAGTGAGGATGCCGACTGATATTTACTCTTTTTATTGCATTATTTTCAGTTTGTTTACTTTAGTCCACTTCTGCATTTTCCTTCAAAGCATTTATTGCCCCTCTTTCTCAGAGATATTTTTAGTGTAGATATTTTCATGTGATCATCATGTGATCATGTACTCTGTTTCGGGTTGGGATTTCTTACTTTTATTCACAAAAGTTTTTTTTTTAAATACTGCATCATGAGAGGTTTTATCCAGATTGCTGCAGAAACTGGCTGATATCAGGTTTTGTTTCTGGATGTTTGTTGCAGGCTCCAGTTCCCAGTGCTGCTCCAGCAGCTGCCGCCGCCCCAGCAACACCAAGGAAAGGCCGAGTGTTTGCCAGTCCACTGGCCAAGAAGCTTGCTGCTGAGAAGGGAATTGACCTGGCACAGGTCAGCGGTAGGTAACCGAGGCTAACCGAGCTAACTGTGGGCAGCTTTGATATTTTTACAAAGAACAATGTAATCATGGTACTTTCATTTTGTTTCCATTCAGGATCTGGTCCTGATGGACGCATTACCAGGAAAGATATTGAAAGCTTTGTTCCACCAAAGGTTGCTCCTGTGAGTGAAGCCCTGCTTTGTTTGTTTAAAGAATTTTTTTCTCTGCCGTTTGCAAAGCTTTCATTTGACGAGTGTAGTTGATTCCAGTTTTTTTCTTAATATCTATAATATATGAATACTATATGAAAAAAAAAATGGCCAGTAATTAATTCATAAGGAGTCGAGGTGACATCATAGAGCAGTAGGAATGGAACAAGGTTGATTATTATTTACAGAGAAAGACAAAGTAGTATTGGTGCTTAGATTTCAAACAAACTTTAGCAACTGAAATTAGCATTAATTGTAGCTGGCTTTGATAAAACAGCAGTCTGTATATCCCCAAATTATTGATGACTAACTGAATAAATAAAAAATCAATTAATAAAAATCAAGCAGGGATCTGTAAGCTGCTGCTCTGGTGTGACAGCAAAGTCCTGAAATTACTAGCGATTTTAAATCTAAAGGCGCTGGAAGTGCCTTTAGAAAAAATTGATTCACATAAGAACTGTGATTCTCAGTTTACTTCGATTCCTAATCCAAATAAAATGTCCCAAAGTCACTGGAACGTAGGCGTGCGAGGAAAGCACCACAACAAAGAGGAAGCTACAAAAATGACAGAAAAACATTTGGACTCATTTAGGTTTTCACCAAATAAATTTTGAGTTGAATCATGGCCTCAAAAATTGGAATCGAATTCCGTTTACTGTAATTTGTTCAGGCATGCCTTAAGCGTCACGTTTCGCTCTCTCCCACAGCCTCTACTGACTCCAAACATGTTACTGAAAATACAGTTTTTACACCTTTTCTGCTCCCTCTGTCTGTTTTACCCTCCTGGTTGTGCAGTAAAGCATTCAGTGATGGAAAGAAAGATTGAATTTTAAAGTTTCAGACCAACCAGTCAGGGGTGGTCAAAATGAAAATCTGATTTCAGTCACCGTCCAATTTTGCTTTGGTCTTTCAGTTTTTCAGTCAAGTTGTTTTGGTATCTAACCTGCTTTTCTTTTTTTTTTTTTTTTTTTTTTTTAAGCGATTAAACTGTTTGTGCCTTAATGTTTTTCTGCTGATTAAATCCTGTCCTCTGGCAGTCTGCAGCTGCTGCTCCCAGTCCTGCCGCTGCCAGAGCCGCTCCTGCAGCCGCCGCCGCAGCTCCAGCTGCTCCAGCTGGCACCTTCACAGACATCCCCATCAGCAACATCCGCAAGGTGAGAGCCAACACGAATCACACAAATTAGAGCCAACGCCCAACTTCTGCTCCCTCCGCGGCGACTTTCCGCTCTGCCGGCAGCCGGGCTTTAGGACGGCCTCCTTCTCCACCGGCTGCGTTCAGAGCTTTGAAGTAAACACCCTGAGGAGGTTTCACAGCGATACTCTGCTATCTGTGACCTGTGCTTCCACATTTCGCCTTACAGACGGGCAACTCCATTTATCAGCCCAGACTGGATATGCACACCTCTTCCGTCTCTCTGTGATGAATTATGGATCAAAGCTGAAGTGCGTCTATCTGTCTGTCCTCCAGGTCATCGCTCAGAGACTGATGCAGTCCAAGCAAACCATCCCCCACTATTATCTCTCTGTAGATGTCAACATGGACCAAGTGCTTGAACTTCGAAAAGAACTCAATGAGGTTAGTGCAGCTTCTAAGCAGACATGCGAGGTGTCTTTTTTTTTTATGCAACACATTAAATTACTGTTGAGATGAGCAAGTGAACATGCTGTCCCCGCTCTGCAGGAAGTGAAAGCCCAGAATATCAAGCTCAGTGTGAATGATTTTATCATCAAAGCCAGCGCTCTGGCCTGCCTCAAGGTTCCTGAGTGCAACTCCTCCTGGATGGACACAGTCATACGGCAGTAAGTACAAACAAGAGTTCATTTTCCTTTAGTGGTTGTCATTGTCATTACTTAAATGTAATGTAATTGAATTCCCATTTTAGCCTTCTGTTGTTTTAGTCGGCTAAATTACTAAATAGCGACGCAACAAAGCAAACCGTCTGTCACCCTCCCAAGAGCAGAAACAACTACACTGAAAAATTACCAGGAAGACAGAAGTTGCAAAAAAATATTGCTGAATATATTTGCAAAATAACTGCATGACTGAGTCAAAGGTTCTTATTTCCATTAAGGACATTAACTCTAAAATAGAACTGTTGTGTACAGTTTGTCAATAGAAAAGTGACACCTTAAAGTTAAGTATATTTCTGACGACTGAATTGTCCCTTTTTCATTTCATTAAGTACCACTTTTGGATTATTTAGATTTTTTCTGAGAGCCTTAATATAAAAACTTTAAAGAAAAGCATTTACAATTTTGTTTTTTCTTTCTGTCCTGTTGTAAGAATTTAATTATTTATAGTTGAACAGGATTTTTCTGTTCCTACGCTAAAAGTTGAAGATTTTAAACATTCATAAACCTCTCATGCTAGAGATTAGCACAGCTAACGTTGCTGAAATAATTTCAAGAGAATGCAGAATCGATCATTCTCTCTTGAGATTTTCAAAAGTCTGCCAACATTTCCACATCCCACATTTTCTAATATGTTTAAATTGGATGGGCATTTAAATAAAGGAAATTCATGAACGATTATGACGATATTTGGAAAAGAACATTCATGAATTTCTGTGATTATTTTTAAGAGAAAATTTTTAAGGGTGGAGCACAAAGCTAATGTGTTTTAACATGCATATAACAAATCCCTTAGTAACTTTGCGTGCATTTCCAAATAAATGTTTTATCCACCAAACTCCTCAATCTTAATAAATCTATCAGCAAGTTAGAACTTGCAGCTTCACATTTGAGCCAGCAGAGGGCACTCTGACGCTTTTCTAGCTCAGAAACACATCGATTACATCACTATTGACTGCTTTTCTCCAGGAATCACGTGGTGGATGTGAGTGTGGCGGTGAGCACAGCCAGCGGTCTCATCACGCCCATCGTTTTCAACGCCCACATCAAAGGCCTCACCGCCATCAGCTCTGATGTGGCAGCTCTCGCAGCCAAAGCCAGGGAGGGCAAACTGCAGCCTCACGAGTTCCAGGTGCATCGCCGTATCAGCTGGAATCTCATGATGTAATCATATCCATTCATTCATTGACTAACATTTATTAATGTTCCGTCTTTCAGGGAGGAACATTCACAATCTCCAACTTGGGGATGTTCGGTGTCAAGAACTTCTCGGCGATCATCAACCCGCCTCAGGCCTGCATCCTCGCTGTGGGAGGCTCCGAGAAACGTCTGATGCCCGCTGACAACGAGAAGGGGTGGGTGTCATGGCAACAGCTGTTTTGATAAAACGAACAAAATGCTTATAATGCAAAGCTAACCCCAGGCACCCTGGCGGCTTCGCAGGTTCGACGTATCCAGCGTGATGTCGGTAACGCTGAGCTGCGACCACCGGGTGGTGGACGGAGCGGTCGGAGCGCAGTGGCTCGCAGAGTTCAGGAAGCTCCTGGAGAAACCGGTCACCATGCTGTTGTGATCAGACTGAACCACCACTGAGCGGCAGCAGTGGGCGCACAGCTCACACCGAGGAGATCTGATTGGCCCAGAGCCTCGTGTGATTGGCTGGCCTGCCATAAGGTCACTCCCACTTAGCCTGACGGGGGAAGAGGCAGAACTCACTCCGATTTCCTGTCTGTCCGTCTCACTGTCTCTCCTAGCTTTCCTTCCTGTCACTCTCTTTCACTATTTTTATTTATTTTGGCCCCATCTTATGAGAGACCGGAATTAGGCTTTTGGAATCCTGGAAAAGAGACTTTATGTCGCTAAAATACAGAGAATATTTTACAAATGCAAGTGTTACATGTCCATCCTGTTAGCATATTAACCTAAAACCAGTGGGTGTGTGCATTTCTGCAAACTGTCATATGTCACATGATAAAATATAAAATGAATATAAATATAAAATGAAATTGACATAGAAACGGTCCAAATTTACACACACACAGACACATCTTCATTCAGTGGCCATACACATACAGTTGGAATACTTTATGCGTTTTCTGTGGGTTAAAACTACAGTGTGTATAATGATAATCACTGTGGAAACACACAGTGTTGTATATTTATGTATATGGTATTGAACTGTTTGGTTGAAGTAACCAAGCTCCTTAAAGACCTCACCGTAGAAATGACAAGCTCGTCTAGCTCTGAGGGATTAGAGACACGGAACGGTTTCACCCATTTCTCTTCTACCCGTTTTGTTTTCTAGTGTCAAACATCTTGTTGATCTTGCGGCTAAAACGCACAAACCCGGTGCTGGGTGTTATTCATAACAGGAAAGGAATAAATTGGGAGATTACAACCTTCTGCACAGACTCTTGATTTGGCTCACAACGATGAAGTCGTCATTTTATATGTCCGGTTACAGGTTGATTTAAAGGGTTATTGAAAAGTTAATTTATTTCAAGACAAAGTCATACAATTTCAACAATTGTTCAGTTTTAATTTTGACAATCATAGATTATGACCTATAATTATAGGCTGTAGATCATGGCAAACAAAATACAGTCTCAGAAAAT